TTACATGAATCCAGGCTGCTTTGCAGGTACAGTTACTGAATCGGAGCAGCTCCTTGAGTTCATCAAACTTCATACTGGAGCTTCGGATGTCCCTTATATTTCTGCTCCCAATGCCTGTATTCCAACTGTATCTGCAACACTTACTAAGAAAAATGCATTCTTGCTTTTGGAATGGATTCGTCACCTGAGATATCAAAGGGCTTACATCCCGGAGAAGTTCTTGAAATGTATAAAGGAAGGTAGCTGGTTGAAAGTTACTTTGAATGGTTTTTCTGCGTCCAGGCCACCTTCGCAGTCATTTGTACTTACACCATCATGGGGAAACATTTTGCAGAACGGATCCGCTTTTGTTGATATCCCGTTGGTTGACCAGAGTTATTATGGTGAGAGAATTGATGGTTACAAGGAAGAGCTGAAAACAATTGGAGTGATGTTTGAATTTGGAGAAGCATGTGAGTTTATTGGGAAGCATCTTATGTCTCTGGCAGCGTCGTCCACTTTAACTAGAGGCAACGTACTTTCAATACTACAATTTATCAAGCTCTTGAGGGACAAATGTCTTCCCCCAGACGATTTCATCCGCAGTATCAGAAAAGGACAATGGCTTAAAACAAAATCTCATGGTTATAGGTCTCCTGTTGGATCTGTCTTGTTTGACCAAGAGTGGATAATTGCATCCAAAATAAGTGACATTCCCTTCATTGATCAGGAGTTATATGGTGAAGAAATCTTCCGTTTCAAGACAGAACTTGAGTTGCTTGGTGTGGTTGTCTCCTTCAAAAGAAATTACCATCATATCATCGACCACCTTAAGTCACCTGCATGCTTAACTGCTCTGACACCAGCGGCTGTTCTACTAATGCTGCAAATTATGCGTATTTCAAATTCATCTAATAAGATTGTCGAAGCATTGAAAGGACCGAAATGCCTGAGGACAAATAATGGTTACAAGTCTCCACGTGAATGTCTCTTGTTTCACCCTGAATGGGGTTGCCTTCTTCAGGTCTTTAGTGGCCTCCCATTGATTGATCATAAATTTTACGGATGCGGAATCTTTGACTACAGAGACGAGTTGAGAAAGATAGGGGTAGTTGTTGATTTTGAAGAGGCTGCAAAAGTATTTGCTCGCCATTTCCGGCAGGCTTCCATCATCACCAAAGAAAATGTTTCATCATTTTTGTCCTGTTGCAGAAAGCTGAAGGGAACTCAGTTTAGATTTCCTGCGGATCTTAAGAGTTGCATTCGCGAAGAAAAGTGGCTGCGTACTCGCCCTGGTGTTTATAGATCTCCAAGACAGTGCATTCTCTATAGTCCTAATTGGGATTCTATCTCTCCAATATGTCCTCTTCTCCCTTTTATTGACGACTCTGATAATTGGTATGGCAAGAACATTCATGAATATAAGGAAGAGTTGAAGAGCTTGGGGGTGGTTGTGGAATTCAAGGACGGGGTCAAGTTTGTGCCTTTTGGTCTTCAGCTTCCCCAGAATCTGAGCTGCATTTCTCGAGGAAACGCACTTGCTTTGCTGGAATGCATAAGGATTCTATTGCAGGAGAAAGATTACTCCTTTCCTGATGCGTTCACGAAGGAAGTTTCTCAGGCATGGTTAAAGACTGGTGCTGGTTATAGGATTCCCACCGAGTGCTTGTTGTTTGATTCCAAGTTTGGTGAGTATGTAAAGCAGACTGATGGGCCTTTCATTGATGTAGAATTTTATGGTTGTGAAATTGCAACATACAGACAAGAGCTGTCTGCAATAGGAGTGATTGTTGAAGCGGCAGAAGGATGTCCTTTGATTGCCAGCCAGCTTTATCTTCATGATGAGTTTTCCACTTTCGTTCGAGTATATAATTACTTGAGTGAGTTTAAGTGGGAGCCAGATAGTGAGGATGACAGATGGATCTGGATTCCGAAGGGAGATCAGAATGGAGATTGGGTTAATCCAGATGACTGTGTTGTATATGACAAGGATGAGCTATTTGGTTCGCAGTTGACTGTTCTGAAGAACTACTTTGAGCATAACCTACTCGTGTTCTTCTCCAGGGCTTATGGGGTAAAGTCCCGTCCTTCAATTGATGACTACTGCGAGCTCTGGAAGGTGTGGGAAACTTCTGAAACTGGATTGTCGCAGGATCAATGTTGCAAGTTCTGGCGGTATGTTTCAAAGAACTGGAATGTAAAAACTGAGAAAGCTCTCCCTGAGGCCTTGGTGAAAGTACCTGTTAATTCAGGCTCAGATGAAATCTTTTTGTTAAACAAGCGAGATGTTTTCCTTCCAGATGACCTTCAACTTAAGGATCTTTTTGAACAGTCTTCTCCTGACCCCATATTTGTTTGGTATCCTCAGCCAAGCTTGCCTGACTTGCCTCGGACTACATTGCTTGAAATGTATAGGAAAATTGGTGTTCGTGCTATTTCTGAATCTGTACAGAAGGAAGAACTGTCCCTAGAAAATGGTGTTGATCAACAGGTAATTCCAACGGAGAAATTGATCGGGAAAGCACTACTCCGGGTGATTCTTGGTTTTCTAGCTTGCCCTCCCATTGAAATGGAAGTAGGGACGAGGCGAAAAGCAGTCCAAGGTCTTCTCAATCTCACTGTTGTAGAGACAACTGAACCGATCACTGTAAGATATAACTTACCATTGTCTTCTGGGGAGATTTTAAATGTGAGAGCAAGCCGCAAGATAAGATGGGACAGAGAGATGTCGAAATTTTTCACTCAGAAAATTGACAGGTCTGGAGGACAGAAAAGCATCATTGAGTTTGCCACATATTTCTCTCAAGTAATATCTGATGGTGTCTTGTGGGAGCACACTGATCATATCCCTGCACTTTCTGAGCTGATCAAGTTGGCCTTTGTGCTAGAATTTAATGAGGAAGCAGTTGATTTTTTGATGAAGTCTAAGAATTTGCAAATTTTCATTGAGGATGAAGAGTTTCTGAATTCTGCCTTCCCTTCTTCCACCTAGGCATGCTATGAAGCATTTGTGGTAATGTTTGGTTTACGTTCTTTATTTGTTATCTTTGCATTAGAAATTTATATATAGAGTTGGAGAGGAAGGTAAGTCTGTCAATGTAATTTGTTTGTAGTATCAGTCTGTCAATATGTGTTGTGAACTTTATTTGTGTGACTTGTGTGCTTTTGTCAATGGATTCCGGACAGTTTCTTCGTTTGTAATTTAAATCAGCTGCTAGTTTGCTAATAATCTGTTAGATATGTTGAATTCTATTTTCACAAGAGGCCTTGTGTTGTGGCACTCATGGCTTCTTGTATTTTTCATTATGAATATTGCTTACTCAACTCATAATGATCCTTTCTTTTGGACGGGCAAGGATTCTGAATCATTCATGGCGTTGTGTGTAGTTATATTTCTCTTCCTAGCCGCGCGGCTATACTCGTAATTAAAAAAATTAAAAAAAACACAGCTGTATATCCGCGTGGCTATACTCGGAAGTGAAAAAGGCCCAATGCATTAAGAACTAACAGCATGAAAAGCACCATTGCTCAAATAAAATAAAAAAGTTGAAAAAAAGGGACCCAAGTTAGGTATGTGAGTCACTCTCCGCGCGGAGTATATATTTCTCTTCCTAATATTGAAATATGTCGCATTTTCAAATCTTCCCTCTCTCTCTCACTTGATCAAAGAAACAAGTTAATTAAAGATCAGATCTCATATTCTTCCTTGGTTTTCTAGCATGCATTAACCTTAATTTCCTACTTCAAAGCACTACTTGTCTGGTACATAATTTGAAGGGGAATGTTAGCAACATTTTCTTGTGAACCTTCTCCTTTTTCCTCATGACATGTCATTTTTCTTATACTTAAAACAATGTCATCAATCATCACACAAGCTAATTTTTCTTTTCCAAATTAACCCTTATTAAATATATATATATATATATATCTTACAACAAGCTAGTATTTTAACAACTTTCTTTCCACCTTATTAAAAAAATTAGGTTTTTATTTATAAAAAAACTGTTTGATTTTTGTTTACCCAAAGAATACATATGTCACTAATAAAACCTTCAGTCCTTGTATAACTTTCTTTCCACCATATAAAAAAATTAAATAAGAAAAAATGTAGGTTTTTATATATATAAAAAAGTATGCTTTTCGTTTTTCCAAAGGATAGCGACTGTAATAATAAATTGTTGTCCTAGCATAGCATGGACTTCTTTTGTAACATTCTCACTGAATAAATAAAAAAACACCTTTTTTTCAAAAAAAATAAACTGACGCTTTATTATTATTATTTATTTATAATAAGATGGTAAGAAAGTTGTAAAAAAAAAAATCAATACATTTGATAAGGATAAACTTGAAAAACAAAATTTAGCTTGTGTAATGCATTTGTGACATTGTTTTAAGTGTATGGAAAGTGACACATGTCCTGAGTAAAATGAAGAAGACCCAAAGGAGAATGTTAGAGAGAAGGTTGTTAGCATTCCCCATAATTTGAAGGAATCCAAATTTAATCCATACTTACTTGATCTGAAGTATAATCCAAAATCATACTAGAAGGGAAGTTTTTTTTTTGGTTGATTCATATTAAGTAGAGTATTTTTGGGTTGATTCGATGATCCAAACCCGACCCAACTGTTGTTTTTATTTTATTTTGTTTGTCATCTATGCCATTTGAATTCAAGACTTAATCCAGAACAAGAAGTATGAGTTACTAAAACACCAACAAATATATATATATATATATATATATATAAAATATATCACATTGCAATAGAAACGAGGAATCATGAAATTCTTAAAACCAAAAACAAGGAACGAGGAATACAATACAAAGCCTGAAAGCACAAACAACAAGAGAAAGCAAACAAAGCCAAAGACATGGTATAAATAGATAGATGAGCATTGAGCGAGACTGCTCTGCTACGACAGTTCATTTATCCTGTCATCCTGGAGGACACCAATAATATCCTCCCACTCTCTCCCTTTTTTTTTTTTGGGTAACAAAGGGGGATTGAGAGATGAGAAAACAGCTAGACTGAAATCAATCTAAGCCTTGCGCGACCTGCTCTGTCATCCTGGAGGACACCTTTAATACCATCAGGAGGCATATCAAAGAAGTGAGTACCCAATTCCATCCCGTGCCCCATATTGGCCAAAGCGTCAGCAGCCGAGTTAACCTCCCTGAATACTTGGATGATTTCGCAATCCCAGGAGCTCTTCCAGTAGGATATGCATTTGTTTCGCAAAATAAGGAGAGGATGACGATCCTCCAAATTAGCATTCAAATGCTCCAAGACAGGTTTACAATCAGTTTCAACAATAAGCTTTGTCACTTGCATCCTTTGAGCTAGCTCTAGACCATATGACACAAAGCCGACAGTTCAGCCTTCAAAATATCCCCATGACCCAAATTGGCAGAGAAACCTGCTATCCAATCACCAGCAGAGTTTCGAATAAGACCCAGCAGCAATAGCATCACTAGCATCACTAGAATCCTTTCTAGACCCATCAACATTCAACTTCATGGTAAAGGGAGGGGGAGGCTTCCACGCCAGCATAGTTGGCACCTTTTTTTTGGGGTCAAGACCAGCACTTGAAATTAGGACACCTCCTCTGCCCGGCTTCTCCTCCTCCTCCTCCTGCTCTAATTGTGATTCTGAACCTGAACCTGAACCTGAAACCTTTCTGGATAAACCATAGGCCAGCAGAGCTCCTGCAACAGCGCCAGCGCTAGCTGCTACAATTGCACCGGTGTTCCTCTTCCTCCTAGAGCCATCACCGTCCTCATCATTGTTCCCAGAGCCAGAGCCTCCCCTGCTTTCATTCGCTCCCATTTTTCTACTATTCAATCAATCCAAACTCAACTCTCTCTACTTGACTTTGCAACTCTACGTGATTATATTATTTATATAGAAACATTGGAACTGCCTTTTCCAACGAAAGGTGTTTAGATTCTCAAAGACTAAAACTAGTCGAGGATTCCGCGTCCAAAGCTCATGCTTTCCGTACAAATCCTACTCTTATTCCCACTAGATAAGTTTACCTTTCTATGACCAAAAAAGAAAAGAAAAGAGAGAGAGATAAGTTTACCTTTCATTTCAATAATGTTTGTTTGGTTTTCTTCTTTTTTTGCTTTTCTTGTTTCCTCTCTCACTTTTTTTTCCCTTAGTTGTGAAGGTTACATTTCCTCTCTTTGCATTGAATCATTAACCTTCATCACTAAGTTTTATTTGTTTATAGGGTTTTTGATTGAAATGGTCCTTCAAGTTATACCTGTGTTCCATTTTGGTAATGTAATTTGTCTATTTCATGTCAAATTGGTCTCACCATCAAACTCCTTCAATATTACCGTCATTTTAAGGGCTAAAATTCTCAATTTGTATATATTTGTCATGATTTAGCCCTCAAATTAACGGAAATATTGACTAAGTTAGAGGGTGAGACCAATTTGACATGAAAGGAAGAATTGAAAGACCATTGGCGTGAAAAAATTAGTTGAAGGACCGAAATGGAACTTGGGCATAATTTCAAAGACCACTTCGATTAAAAACCCTTGTTTATATTAGTAAATATAATATTGTTATTTATCTCTACTATCATGTGAGAAATTATTGAGTGATGCCGTATTACCACGTCATATGATGACACTTCCACTTAAAATTTTATGTGACGGAGTTTACGATTTGGACTTGATTAGACCACACGACTAAAATTGCCAAAATTGAAATGTGATGAACCAATCTGGAAGATGAGTCAAATTAATTGACCCAAAAAACAAAAACAAAAAACTCTCCAGATTGAGATAATTTCACACCCAACCTATTCAAATTGTTCAAAAAATAAATCATTTGCATTAAGTATTGCTTTTGTTTTGGTTGTGTACTTCTGTCTGTTGGAATCTCTTGTTATTCTGAACAAGTTATTGCTTTTTATTGAAGCATGTTCTGTCATCTGGTATTTTCAGAACGGTTACTAATAGGTCAAATTCTTGATTTATATCAATCTTTGATTACTTCGGATTCTGTTTCTACTTGAGGTGAGACTACCATAATGATCTTTGACATACAAGTTATTAGTTTTATGGAAACAATTCTCCCCTGCATTGAAGTTATTGAGTCTGTGTCGGACTTTCCTAAAGATGACAGTACTCTATTTATTCATTGCATTTAAAGGTTTTAAGTAAGCTGAAGGGTGTTATGAACAACGCACAATCAGTTTCATAATAAAGAATGAGATTAAGTTAAAATTATATTTAAGCTGTGGGCACACACATACTGAATTATTTGCCAGAGATAGCAACCAGTGTTTTCAAAGGCATGCATTCGCGCACGTCGGAGCGAGGCGGCAGGTAATTGTCCAAGGCGGTCAGCTGTTTCGCAAGTTGCACGTTTAGCGCGGGCAAGGCGTGACTAGGCGGAGCGAGGCGGCGCTAGATCTGGACAATTCTGAACCGGAAGAGATTTTGCGCAGATGAGTCTGCAAAATGGCTGCGAGGAAGACCACTCGCCTGTTTTGTTTTTAAGGTTAAATGAAATGATGTCGTTTCACGTGAGTGTTTTGAAAAATATAAAACGCAAGCTGTAGCTTTTAGTTTCAATATTAATATTTCTTTTTTCTTTTTTTTTTTTTTTTTTTTTTTTTTTTGGGGGGAAAGATGAACTTTCATAAATAAAGACCAAAGATTCTTGCCCTTTTCTAACTCCTGGCAACTGTAAGTAAGCCATTCTATATTTTACTTACCCGTTTTTTTTCTTTCCCTAAATTAATATATTAACACATGGACTTATATTTATAACCCTAATTTCTACCCTTACCAGATAATCTCTATCAATTTCAAGAAATCTTTTCATCTTTAGACTGCAAGTAAGCCATTCTATATTTCTCTCTAATGCTTCGCAACTGTAATTTGAAGTTCTGTATAATTTAGTTGTATAATTTAATTGTATTGTATTATTCATAAATTTTTCTTATTAAAATAAATTAATGTTCAAAAGGCTTACGTCTCGCATCAACGTCTCATCTTTCAAAACATTGATAGCAGCATGGAGAATGGTGGTATATATCACCATTACTGGCTCTGAATGAATAGCAATTTTCCACATCCTTGCAGCAGCTAAATTTTATGAGCCATATGTAGTGTCTCCCGCTTTGATTATCTTCACCCCTTGAACTTTGGAACTCTGTGATGATCTATAGACCTCCACAATCTTTTCCTGGTGGCCTTTCATGGCTTTTGTCAATGCATGGGAGTCTCTTGTTCTGGACAGGTTATTGGTGCGTGTGTAATTAAAATCAGCTGCAAGATTGCTAATAATCTGTCAAATATGTTGAATTCTATTTTCACAAGAGCCCTTGTGTTGTGGCACATCATGGCTGCTTGTATTTTTCATTATGATTGCATAGTCAACTCATGACAGCTAATAGTTTTGGACCTAGATCTAAGAAGTCCTTGAATTTTTCTCTTTCTAAAGTTGGAACATGTGGCATTTTCCAAATCCTCTCTCTCTCTCTCTCTCTCTCTCTCTCTCTCTCACTTGATCAAAGAAAGAAGTTAATTAAAGATCAAATCCCATATTCCTCCTTGGTTTTCTAGCATGCATTAACCTTAATTTCCTACTTTAATGCACAACTTGTATATATTTAATTTGCTTTCACTTTGTTTAATCTTATATTCTTCATTTTGAATTGCAAGTAATTAAATTACAATTTAGATTATATGCCTAGGGCGAGGGCATAGAGTGTATTGAAAACACAAGGACGAAAGGAATTGTGCAAAGTTGACCCACTCATAATTGTACCAGGAATTGGTAAACTTGATGGCACAACCCCTACAAAAATCAAGCCGCCTTGTCCGGAATCTAATTTGAGTCCAAATTTAATCCATACTTAATCATACTAGAAGCAGAGTATTTTTGGGTTGATTCGATGATCCAAACCTGATCCGACTGTTGTTTTTATTTTATTATGTTATATTAATTAACAGTTGTCCTCTATGCGATTTGAATTCAGAACTCAATCCAGCAAAACAAAGAGTATGAGCTACTAAAACACCAACATATATATAGTCAAACAAACAGAACATACAAGAGAAAGAAAAGCCACGCACAGCAGTATATTTATTGATATAAAGGCAACTGCAAAATCCTCCCACTCTCCCTCCCTCACTGGCTATCTACTTGCGGTGGAGGTCTTTGAAATAAGCTTTAGGGTCACGCGCAAAATCATCCCTTAAGATTTGCTCGCCTCCTCGGCCCGGAGCTTTCATCGTCTTCCCCTTCTGCTTTGGTTCTGATTCTGAACCTGAACCTGAAACCAGACGGGATAAACCATAGGCCAGCAGAGCCGCTCCTGCCACAGCGCCAGCTGCAATTGCACCAGTGGACAAGTCGGCCTTGTCGTTACGCAAGTCACCACCATTTTCCTCATTGTTTCCAGACCCTTCCCTGCTTTCATTCGCTCCCATTTTTTCTACTATTCAATCCAATCCAAACTCTACTTGATTTTGCAACTTGGTTTTGGACGGGACGGTGTGTGGCTATATATATTACCAAAGGAGTATAGATTCTCAAAGACTAAAACGACTCAAGGACTCGGTGGTCCAAAGCTCATGCTTTTCGTACGTACACTCATATTACCACTATATCACCTGTTTCCTTTCACTTTCTTCTTTAGATAAGTTTACCCTTCATTTCAATAGTGTTTGTTTGCTTTTCTTCTTTTGCTTTTGTTGTTTTCTCTCACTTTTTTCTTCCTTCTTGACAAAGTTACCTGTCCTCTCTTTGCATTGAATGTTCAACTTCATCACTAACTTTTGTTTGTTCATAGGGTTTTTTTTTATCGAAATGGTCCTTGAACTTATACCCGAGTTCCATTTTGATCCTTTAATTCTCTATTTCGTATCAAATTGGTCCCACCGTCAAACTCCGCCAATATTACCGTCAATTGAAGGGCTAAAATGTCGTCAATTTGTATATATTTTTCATGATTTTAGCCCTCAAATTAACAGAAATATTGACGGAGTTAGACGATGGGACCAATTTGACATGAAATTAAGGAAGAGTTAGAGGACTATTGGTGTGAAAAAATTGGTTGAAGTACCAAAATAAAATTTGGGCATAAATTCAAGGACCATTTTGATTAAAACCCTTGTTTATGTTAGTAAATATCCGGTGATATTTCCACTTAAAATTTTGTGTGGCTGAGTTTACGATTTATACTTGATTAGACCACATGACTAAAACTGCCAAAATATTGAAATAACATGAACCAATATGAAAGATGAGTCAAATTACGTGAACCAAAAATGTAATTGAGCCAAAAAAAAACTCCAGATTGAGATAATTTCACACCCAACCTATTCAAATTGTTCAAAAAATAAATCATATGCATTAAGTAATTGTGTGACAAATTATTTATAGGACTGCACTATACCAATTTTTATTTATTTTCCTTATATTCTTACTCCCTCCCAAGGAAAGGAAGAGTTGAAGGTTGAATATTTATTTCAAACGGCACTCCACTTACTAAAAAGCTTGGGGAGGAGTTTCTCAATTCTGCCTTCCCTTCTTCCACCTAGGCATGCTATGAAATAATATTTGTGGTAATGTTTGGTGTGTTTGGCTATAGATATATGGAAACATTGGAACTGCCTTATACCAACTTTTTCCTTGGTTGACGAAAGGTGTTTAGATTCTCAAAGACTAAAACGACGTATCAGCGTCCAAAGCTCATGCTTTTTCGTACAAATCCCAGCCATTTTACCACTACATCAAATGTTTCCTTTCACTTTCTTACTAGATAAGTTTACATTTCAATCATGTTTGTTGCTGGTTTTCTTCTTTTGCTTTTGTTGTTTCCTCTCTCTCACTTTTTCTTCCTTCGTTGAGATGGTTACCTTTCCTCTAATTGCATTGAATCATTAACCCTCATCACCAAGTTTTATTTGTTTATTTTAGTAAATACTAGCCCCTTGACACATGCTTACACGTGTGCTAATTGGTTTTTATTATTATTTATTTATAAGAATTAAGAAAAGATAACATGGGTAGTTATGTTCCATAAAAGTAGGACATATTATCTAATTTTGTTTTTATTTTTATTTTTTATATGAAAAAAATGTGAATTTACCATATTATCCTCATTTAATTAATAATTTTAATTCTTAATGTTTGAATTAACCAAGGGTATTTTCTGGTATTTTGAATGTTTCACCATTCTCTGCCTTTTGCTTTATATATATATAGATAATATTGTCATCATTTATCTATACTATATTAATGTCATCATTTATTAAGTGGACAACAAAATGAAATTGCCAAAATAAAAATAAACCCTCTAGATTGAGATAATTTCACACCCAACCTATTCAATAGTTCAAAAATTAAATTATCTAAATATATATAAAGCAAAAGGCAGATAATGGTAAAACATTCAAAATACCAGAAAATGCCTTTAGTTAATACAAACATTAATAATTGAAATTAGGATAATATGGTAAATTTACACTTTTTCATATTAAAAAAATTAAAATTAAAAGAAAAATCAGATAATTGATCATATTTTTATGAAACACAACTACCCATTATCTTTTTTAATTCTAAAATAAATTTAAATTTTTTTTAAAAAAAACCTCACGCAGGAGCGGAAGCGCGTGCGAAGATGCTAGTATGCATTAAGTAATTGTTTGACAAACTATTTATAAGACTTATTTCAAGCTGCACTCCACTTACTAAAAAAAATCTCATCCCATATCTAAAGTAATCTCGTTAATTACTTTGTATAAAGTATTCTCAGCTTTGTCCAGTAATTTCATGATCATGCCTCTCTCTCTCTCTCTCTCTCTCTCTCAAAATTACTATATAAGGAAACTCATCACCAGTCTCAATCACAACCACACCATCTGTTCTATCTACTCTGTCTCATTCAGTACTTCTCTGTGAACTCAGCTTAATTAGAAGAAAGAGTGACGTAAATGGCGACACCGAGAGAGCACATAGAAGAGATAAGGAAGAAAAAGTTCTCCATAGGAGCAGATGCACTCAACCCTTTAACTGAGGATCTTCACCATGCTATCAAGAATCTCTCTGCTGAACTCTATGCCAAAGATGTTCACTTCCTCATGGAACTCATCCAGGTTATTTATTTTATATATACATTCCTACATATCATGACTTAAGTTTGGTGTTAAGGTTAGTGCATAGTCTTGGAATCTTTTGAATCTCTAATTTTGTGTGTGTGCATACATATATATATATATATATATATATATATATCTGAGTATATATTTGTCAGTCTATTTGAATATATAATTTAATGGTTAATACTACTTACTTTACAGAATGCAGAAGATAATGAGTACGTAGAGGGGGTTGATCCATCACTTGAGCTTGTCATTACATCCCGGGATATAACAGCCACGGGGGCTCCTGCCACATTGCTGGTTTTCAACAATGAGAAAGGATTTTCTCCTGAAAACATAGAATCCATTTGCGGTATTGGACGGTCCACCAAGAAAGGCAACAGGAATCGCGGTTATATTGGGGAGAAAGGTGTGTGTACATCATCAGTACATGACATCTATATTAATTCTGATTGTTTTTTAATTATTTGAAATTATTATTTTTTATTTTTCATATCTCTGCTTTAGTTAGAACATTAGCCTTGTGAAGTTGTGATCACAATGTTAAATAAAATAATGTCACAGCTGATTTTTAAAGCTTTAGGCCTTCCAAAAATGTACGCAGCTTCACAGAATTTGGCGACTTTACTCAAAATCTACGTTCTCAACATGTTTGGTTAAGCTTTATTTTGACTCGAGAAACAGGCATATGTTTATTTTGACTCAAAATTTCTCTTAAACAGGAAAACCTTCAATGCGTGTGAGGAGAAATCGGGGGCCCATCTCTTCTTTTGTTTTTTCATCAACATATAAATGCAATTTTCCTTCTCAAACCCTAACTCTGACACAAGCCGTCTTCCAGTCCCTGTCTCTCTCTCTCTCTCTCAGACATAACCCGCGACCTCTCTTCTTCTTCAATCCTCATCTCTCTCTCGCTCATAGCACTATCGCGATCTCGTCCCTGACCTTGGAGATTCCAAACTAGCGTTTTTTTTTCTAGGAGCAGCACCCGCCTAGCGCCTGCCCAGCTCCTGCCTAGACAGCCTAGCGCCTGCCTAGCGACCGCCTAGCCTGCCTTGCGACCGCCTAGCCCGCCTAGCGACCCCCTAGACCGCCTAGCCCGCCTAGCCCCCGCCTAGGCAATTTATTCAGTAATATTAACAATGAGTGACAGTGTGTTCAAGGATATAACTTCCAAAGAAGATTTCCGAGAATTGGAAAAGAAAGAGATGATGCTTACATTGTTCCCACAACCTTGTGAGAATTTGCTAGACTCTGTGTGCCCTGAACGATATGTGCCAATCCAAAATCTGAAACTTTTGGGTTCACATTCTCATCCAAGAGAATGTTACTGACCACAATGTTAAATAAAATAATGTCACAGCTGATTTTTAAAGCTTTAGGCCTTCTGAAAATGCACGCAGCTTCACAAAATTTGGCGACTTTACTCAAAATCTACGTTCTCAACATGTTTGGTTAAGCTTTATTTTGACTCGAGAAACAGGCATATGTTTATATAGCTTCTCCAAGAATATTTTGCTCTTGTTTATGTTAAATTCTGAGTTAAGCTCTTGTCTGATCGAATGCCTATAAGCACATTGATGTTCTCGGATGTGCCTTTTCTTTTGTGTTGTTTAACCAAATTTGTGATTAATATACAGGAATTGGGTTCAAAAGTGTGTTTCTCATCACTGCACACCCTTATGTTTTCAGCAGTGGATATCAAATAAGGTTCAGTGAAGATCCTTGTGTGCATTGCAATCTCGGGTACGTAGTTCCTGAATGGGTTGATACAAACCCTAATTTGTCTGACATAACACAGTTATATGGTTCTGCTTCTGATCCTCCCACCACAACACTGATCTTACCTCTAAAGGCTGACAAGGTCCAGCCTGTGAAGCAGCAGCTCTCAAGCATACACCGTGAGCTTCTGTTGTTTCTTTCAAAGATTAAGAAGCTCTCAGTCAGGGAAGACAATGGCGATCCAAGTCTCGACACTGTAAGTGCAATTGAGATAGCAAGTGAGACTAACTTTGTGACCAGAAAGAACATTGATGCGCAGTCCTACACCGTCCATCTCTCTGCAGAAGAAAGTAGCAATGCGGTTGAAAATGAATGCAGCTATTATATGTGGAAGCAGAAGTTTCCTGTCAGGCAGGAATGCAGAGTGGAGAAGAGAATGGAGGTAGATGAGTGGGTGATCACGCTTGCATTTCCAATCGGAGAACACCTTCATAGAGGAACAAGCTCACCCGGGGTCTATGCCTTCCTTCCAACCGAGATGGTGACAAACTTTCCCTTCATAATTCAAGCTGATTTTCTTATTGCATCATCAAGGGAAACAATTCTTCTGGACAACATATGGAATAAGGGTATTCTTGATTGTGTGCCCACTGCATTTGTTAATGCATTTATCTCACTTGTTAGATCCGTTGAAGATGCTCCAGTGTCTAGTTTGCATCGTATATTCAAGTTTCTGCCTGTCCAGAGCTCTTCCTATGAAGCATTGAATGTTATCAGAGAGTCGATAAAGGCAAAACTTGTTGAAGAAAACATTGTCCAGGAAAACTTCTGAATTCCGATTACCCTTCTGACTAGTTATGTATATGTGGTTGCACTTGTTGATGATTTTTTAACTATATTTTGTTTTGGTTTATGTACTTTTGTCTGTTGGAATCTCTTGTCATTCTGAACAAGTTATTGCTCTTTTATGTATGAAGCAGACCATCATCCGGTATTTTATGAACCGTTTTCGAATAGATATGTCAATATTTTTATTTCTACCGATCTTTCATTACTTTGGATTATGTTTCTACCGGAGGTGAGACTTTGTGACGTATTGCTTGGTTGTTAACATAATGGTCCTAATAGATTTTCGTTTTATGGAAAGATTTCTCCCTTGCATTGAAGTTTACTGAGTCTATGACAAGAGGTTTTAAGTTAGCTGAAAGGTTATGAAAAACGCGCAATCTGTTCATAGAGTTATAGCGAGTTCTTGGTGCCACTGAATTATCTGCAATTCCAAGCCTATATCTTTGAAAAGAAAGGAAAATTCATATATAATAAAGAATGAGATTAAATTATGTCAAAATTATATTTAAGCAGTAGGCACACGCATAATGAGTATTCACCGGAGATAATAACATGGAGAATTGTATATATCCCCATTACTGGCTGAATGAATAGCAATTTTCCACATCCTTGCAGCATCTAAATGGAGAGGTGTGTTGCGTTAAAAAAAATTATATTCAATACCTTGGACAACTTTTGTTCCACCAAATACAGCCCAACTTTTGTTTTGCCATCCGAAACAGCGATATGTAGAGCAGTGTACCCCGCTTTGATTATCTTCACCTCTTGAACTTTGGAACTCTGTGATGATCTATAGACCTCCACAGCCTTTCCCAGCGGCCTTTCATGGAATTTTCCAACAGGCTATAGGTCAGTTTCTCCTGTGAAACCATTGCATTTCTGAACATGCCATAGGCACTTCCTCCTTTGAAACCTTCCCATTTCCACCTCTGTTACCCTCTGGCCTCTTTCTCTAGCTAGTCTATAAGTTAAGTGAAATATATATAGCAAAGCAAACCTTTAAATTGTCGACTCTGATAGTGCATCACCATATGATATGAACTTTTTATCTGTGTGAGTTGTGTGCTTTTGTCAATGGGATTCTCTTGTGATTAATAATCTGTTATTATGGCTTGTTCATTATGAATATTGCATACTCATAATTATCCCTCTTATGGAAAGGGAAGGGTTTCAATCATTCAATCAGAGTGGCCCACATGACGCGATATTTTTTCTTCATTGCATTATCTCTCCACTTTGGTCTCCTAATTTTGACAATTCAGTTCTATAATTTCCTTAGATACCAATCAAGTCCTACAAATGTAACATGGTTTAGGAAGAACAGACGAAATGATCACGTTTTGGATTGATTGCAAATATTTTGGAGAGACAAAAGTCTCCTCATGTGTGGTATAGTTATACATATTGTCACATTGATGAATTTCATCAATTAATTTGACAGAGATTACATCTTGGACTTGATTGCAAGCCAACTAAACTACATGACTAAAATTGCCAAACCTGAAATGACAGGGTTCAATGTGGGAAATGAGTCAAATTACATGGACCAAAAATATTGAGATAATTTCACACTCAACATATTCAAATTGTTCGAAAAATATACCATATGGATTAAGTAGCAGATTGCTTATTTGCAAATTCTAAGGCATTGTAGACACATAGTCATAAATTCTGAATGGTTGAATGTTTATTTTCGTAACGTTGGAATATGTTGCATCCTCTCTCTCTCTCTCGATCAAAGAAAGAAGTTTTTAAAGATCAGATCTCATATTCCTCTTTGGTTTTCTAGCATGCATGAACCTTAATTTCCTACATTATGCACAACTTGTATATATTTAATTTGCTTTCACTTTGTTTAATCTTATGTTCTTCATTCTTAATTGGAAGTAATTTAATTACTTCTTTGGACATGGAGTGTATATGAAAACACCGGGACGAAAGGAATTGTGCAAAGTTGACACCCTCATAATTGTGTAGTCCTTTGTTATTGGTAAACTTAATGGCACAAAGCTCTACAGAAATCAAGGCCGTCTTGTGTAGAATCTAATTCGAATCCAAATTTAATCCATACCATGCTTGATCCGAATCATAATCCAAAATCATACTCGAAGCAGATTATTTTTGGGTTGATTCGATGATCCAAACCCAACTATTGTTTTTATAAGCTACTAAATCCAGAACTCAATCCAACAAAACAAAAGATTATAAGCTACTAAATCCAGACCTCAATCCAACAAAACAAAAGATTATAAGCTACTAAAACACCAAAATATAATAAAAATTTCATAAAACCAGTACACAAAGCAAACAACAGAACATACAAGAGAAAAAAAAACGCTTAAGCCAAAGCCAAAACCAAAGGCTAGCAAGCCAATATGCATAATAGAAGGACAATGCTCCCATCCCACCGGGACTGGCTATCTATTTGCGGCGAAGCTCTCTGAAATAGTCTCCAGGGTTACGCTCAAATACAGCCCTAGGGATTTGTTCAAGTCCGCCGGTGCCCGGAGCAATCATCATCTCCTCCTCCTGCTCAGAATCTGAACCTGAACCTAAACCTGAAGCCAGACTAAATATACCATAGGCCAGCAGAGCCGCTCCTGCCACAGCGCCAGTTGCAATTGCAGCAACAGTGGACCAGCCAACCTTGTCCTTACGCAAGTCACCACCATTTTTCTCATTTTGTTTTTTGATGCGACCATTTTCCTTATTGTTTCCAGAGCCTTCCCTGCTTTCACTCGGTCCCATTTTTTCACTATACGATCCAATCCAAACTCTACTTGGTTTTGCAACTTGGTTTTGGACGGGACGGTGCGTGGCTATATATATGTATATATTAACAAAGGTGTTTAGATTCTCAAAGACGACTCAAGGACTTGGTGGTCGAATCAGCGTCCAAAGCTCATGCTTTTCGTACAAATCTCACTCATATTACCACTACATCAAAGGTTTTTCCTTTCACTTTCTTCTTTATACTAGATTAGTTATACCTTTAATTTCAATGAGGTTTGCCTTTCGTTATACTAGATAAGTTTACCCTTCATTTCAATAATGTTTGTTTGGTTTTCTTCTTTTGATTTTCTTTTTCTTCCTTCATTGAGAAGGAAGGTTACCTTTCCTCTCTTTGCATTGAATCGTTAACCTTCAACACTTATAAGTTTTATTTGTTACCCGAGTTCAACAAACATTTTGATCAAAAACCCTTGTTTACTAATATACTATTGTTCATGTGAGAAATAATTGAGTGATATCGTATGCTGGTGATACTTTCACTTAAATTTTGTGTGATGGAGTTTACGATTTAGACTTAGACCACATGATTAAATTTGCCAAAATTGAAATGACATGGTAATTGAGCCCCAAAAAAAATTAACAAAAAACTCTACAGATTGAGATAATTTCACACCCAACCTATTCAAATATTGTTCAAAAAATAAATTATATGCATTAAGTAATTGTGTGACAAACTATATATAGGATTACTATACGAATTTTTATTTTCCTATATTCTTACTTCCCTCCCAAGGAAGGGAAGAGTTGGTGGTTGTAGACTTATTTCAAACGGCTTTTACTAAAAAAATCTCATCCCGTGTCTAAAGTAATCTCATCAATTACTTTGTCTAAAGTATTCCCAGCTTTTTCTAAAGTAATTTCATCAAGAGTTTTTCTATTTAAACCCCGCACTTCTCTTTGTTCACCCCATATTTTCATTCCAACTTCTAATTCAAATTTTCACAATTTCTAAGAAAACCCACACCCCACACCCCACACCCCACACCCGAATCCTAAGATCTTCAAGTCCATCTTGCAGTTTTCATACCAGCATTTTGCAGGCATTACTGCATCATTATTCTTTTGAACTTGAATTTTTTTTATAATTTTTATAATTTTTTTTTTGTAGAACAGGTTCTATAATTTTTCAATGTAACATAGTGTGATAAATATTTTACAGGTAGTAGCTACAAGTGTAGTCATTCTTCATCAAGAATTTTGTTCTGCTTTGGAAAACGAATCTGGCACACGGTATTTTGATGTATATTTTCTTATTATATATATGTTGTACATGGATGCAATAAACACTATGTTTATATTATTGAGAGCATTCTGTCAATCTAGGAGATAATGCCCTAAATTGAGGGCATTATGTTTATATATGTTTATATGTTGTACATGGATGCAGTAAACACTATGTTTATATTATTGAGGGCATTATGTCAATTTAGTGATAAATAAAAACAGCAAGCAGAAGTGTTGGGCCGTGGGCGTGGAAGAAATCTGTTAATAAAAGAAAGAGAGGGAGAGAGAGGTGAGGAAGGAAGGCAAAGCCAGGGGAATTTGTAATATCCAGTCCCTCCCTATCCACCTATATTACTCTCACAATCCCAATTTAGGGTTTGTGAAGAGAAGATGAGTATAGTAGGTTTCTTGGATTGAAATATGAGTAATCTGGCAATAGGGTGTAGAGGAGTTTATGTTTTTCTAAAACTTAATATGAAGAGTGGTGAGGTGTGTGGGGATGTGTGTATAGATGTACTAGGATTAAGTATTAAGTTTTTTTTGTCTTTTTACACAATAATAGAACTTAAAAGCTTAGTGATTTAAGTATTGGGGTGAACAAAGAAAAATGTAGGGTTTAAATAGAAGAACTCTTTCATCAATATCAATAAACTTTTATTTTTTGGGGTGAAAATCAATATCAATAAATTTCTCTCTCAAAAGTAATCAAACTCATCACCAATCTCACAGTCACAACCACACCATTTGTTATACTACTGTCTCATTCAACACTTCTCTCTAAATGAAGACCTAAAAAATAGATAGTTTAGATTGTTGAAAAAAAATTTGTAGGGTTATCCTAAAGGACGTCCCTCAAATTAAATTATTTGAGGAATCCCTCAATAGAAGGGGACTGATATATATACAGAAATTCTCCTATGCGGACGTTCGGATGTTATTACCATGCGCCATGTATTTTCTACCACCCCTCCCTACCTTCCTATTTACAATTTGGCATTCGCATGGCAATAACGTGCAGACAATCGGATGAGAGAATAACTGTACAGGGGTGGAGCCACACTGGGACCATTGTGGTCCCGGGCCCCCACTCAAGTTTTTATATATTTTAAAAGTAATATACTGTTATGTATTACTATATGTATATTATTTTAAATACTTTACGTTTTGATATGTACCCACATGTGTTGTGGCGGATCTATTAAGGCACAATGAGGTGCTTCAAATTGCCCCTTTGCTTAGTTGGTGGTGGTGCACTCCAGGTGTACAAATTACCTTATTTCCATTTTCAGCATTTAAGTAAATGTCTTTGTCCTTTTACTTTAATTTATTTTTATATTACTCCATTTACTTAAGGGGGGTGTATCCAATTCATACTTATAAATACTTTTTTTTAAGTGAGTGACTTTCATAGAGATGACAAATTCTTAAATACTCTCATAGAGTTGATAAAAGTCACTAGTACATTGGCAAAACTTTTGCTCTTAACAATTAGCCTTAAAAGTATCGAAAAGTCATTCATTCAATAAGCTTTTTAAAAGTCATTAACTTTTTGGATACCACCAAACTTTTAAATACTTTTTAAAAGTCATAATTGAATACCACCAAACTTTTAAATACTTTTTAAAAGTCACAATTGAATACCACTAGACTTTTATATACTCTTTAAAAGTCTAAATTGAATACCTCCAGACTTTTAAACTCTATAAAAGTCATTAAAAGTTTGAATTTGATACACCCCCCTAAGTTTACAATGTAAATAAGGAAGTACCCCCTATTTGGATTCAAATAAAAATACTAGAAAATCAAATTCCCACCAAATCAAAACATGAAAAATCGGTTTTAGTGAAAAATACGATTTATGCTAAAAATGATGGCTCATTAAGTCAATATATACTTTATATTAAAATCTCATAAAATCAAGTTTTCTTATTTGATGTGTAAGGAATAAAAGCCGCTAAAAATTATCTTGAGAAAATGATTATTTTGAAAAACCATTTTTCATACTTAGTCAATATTTTTACATAAAACATTTTTTCATGTATGATAATATGATATCAATGCATGAAGGGACCTAAGGTTTTTTTTAGTTTGTGAAATTTTGATTTTTTCTTTCTATTGGGTTTAATGGGGAAAAAAGCTTTAAAGATATTTGCTAAATCGCTGCTCTTTGTCTATCTCTTACAATTTTTCTTGCTTAAAATGTATCTATATATCTCTTTGTCGAGGACAATTATGATTGCAACCAATAAGCAATATAATTCTTGACATATGTGATATATATACTATTTTTCGTATGTATTGTGAGTTCGAACTTTTGATTCTTTATAATTTGTAAGAGGCCCCCACACACATGAAATCCTGGCTTCGCCATTGTAACTGTATATATATATATATATATATATATATATATATATATATTGGTCAGTCTATTTGAATATATAATTTAATGGTAATGAGTACGCAGAGGGGCTCCTGCCACATTGCTGGTTTTCAACAATGAGAAAGGATTTTCTACTAAAAAAATATAATGCATTTGCAGTGTTGACGGTCCACCAAAAAATGCAACAGGAATGGCGGTTATATTGGGCACACACATACTGAATTATTCAACAGAGATAACACGGAGAATGGTGGAATATATCACCATTACTGGCTCTGAATGAATAGAAATTTTCCACATCCTTGCAGCAGCTAAATGAAGAGGTTTGTTGCCTTTAAAAATATTTATGTTCAATACCTTAGACAACTTTTGTTCCACCAAATACAGCACGACTTTGGTTTTGCCATCCGAAACAGCGATATGTAGCAGTGTTCCCTGCTTTGATTATCTTCACCTCTTGAACTTTGGAACTCTGTGATGATCTATAGACCTGCGCAAACTTTTCCGATGGCCTTTCATGGAATATTCACGAACAGGCTATATAGGTCAGTTCCTCCTGTAAATCCATTGCATTTTTTGACATTCCATAGGCAAATTCCTCCTTCAAAACCATTCCCATTTCCACCTATGTATCCATGTCTGGCCTCTTTCTCTAGCTAGTCTATAAGTTATGTGATATATAGATAGTGCATCATCATATGATATGAACTTTATCTGTGTGAGTTGTGTGCTTTTGTCAATGGGATTGTCTTGTGATTCTGAACAGGTTCTTCTTTTTGTAATATATATCAGCAGCTAGATTGCTAAATATGGCTTGTTCATCAATATTGCATACTCATAATGACGATCCTTCTTATGGAGAGGGAAGGGTTCTCAAATTCAATCAAGGAGAGTGACCCACATGAAGAGATGATTTTTTTTTCAATTGCATATTATCTCCACTTTGGTCTCCATCACTTTAATTTTGACGATTCAGTTCTAAATTTTTTTTTACATACAAATCAAGTGCTACAAATGCAAAATTGTTCAGGAAAAACAACGAATTATCATGTTTTGGATTGATTGCAAATATATTGGAGAGACGAAAGTCTCCTCATGTGTGGTAGTTACATATTGGCACATTGAATTTCATCAATTAATTTGACAGAGATTACATCTTGTACTTGATTGCAAGCCAAACTAAATTAAACTACATAACTAAAATTGCCAAAATGGAAATGATAGGGTTCAATGTGGGAAATGAGTCAAATTACATGGACCAAAAAATGTACCCTAGTGGCGTTAAGGTTACAAAATTGTTGTGAAGAATTCTCCATAATTTAGCAGATCACAAATTTTCCATCTCCATGCATGTTCATGCATTGTAGACAGTCATAAATTAATTCACAATATTGAAATTTGAGAAGATGAAGCCTTCCTTCCTCTACTTTTGTCCCTTGGAAATTGAAACGGAGAAAAAACGCCTAACATTCTCAAGAAAGACCAAAAGACTACTCGGTATCAGCTTTGTCTAAAGTAATCTCATCCCATGCATTAATTGAAACTTATCAATATCAATAAACTTCGATCTCTAAAATATAATCAAACTCATCCCCACAGTCTCCACCACACCATCTCTTCTATCTTATCTTTCTCATTCAGTCATTCTCTGCGAACTAAGCTTAGTTTGAAGAAGAGATGCAAATGGCAACACCGAAAGAGCACGTAGAAGAGATACGAAAGAAAAAGTTCTCCATAGGAGCAGAAGCAATCAACCCTTTGACTGAGGATCTTCACCAGGCTGTCAAGAATCTCTCTGCTGAACTCTATGCCAAAGATGTTCATTTCTTAATGGAACTCGTCCAGGTGAGTTGTTTTATGCATATATACATTCCTAATATATCATGGCTTTTATTAGTTTGCTGTTAAGGTTGAGTGCATAGCATTGTCTTAGAATCTTTTGAATCTCTAATACTTTAGTGTGTGTGTATATATGAGTATATCTGAGTATATATTTTTCAGTCTATTTGAATATGTAATTTAATGGTTCATGCTACTTACTTTACAGAATGCAGAAGATAATGAGTACGCAGAGGTGGTTGATCCATCACTTGAGTTACTCATAACGTCTCGGGATATAACGGGCACAGGGGCTCCTGCCACATTGCTGGTTTTCAACAATGAGAAAGGATTTTCTCATAAAAACATAGAATCCATTTGCAGTGTTGGACGGTCCACCAAAAAAGGCAACAGGAAGCGTGGCTATATTGGGGAGAAAGGTATGTCTTATATAGATGTTTGATTTTGACTGTAATCAATCTTAACATGCTTTATATATGAAAGAAAAATATTGGCATTTTATATGTAGATGCTTGGAAACTAAAGGAAAAAATACTACTGCGTTGAAACATACCCATGTTTTTGTTCAAATCTGAATCAAGCTGTTGTTGTCTATTTGGTTGCCTATAAGCATGTTGATGTTCCTTGATGCGCTTTTTCATTTGTGTAGTTTATGTATCTCCATGATTTTTGCTGATTCAATCAAATTTGTGATTAATATACAGGAATTGGTTTTAAAAGTGTGTTTCTCATCACTGCACATCCTTATGTGTTCAGTAATGGTTATCAAATAAGGTTTAGTGAAGATCCTTGTGTGCACTGCAATCTCGGGTACATAGTTCCTGAATGGGTTGATACAAACCCTAATTTGTCTGACATAAAACAGTTATATGGTTCTGCTTCTGCCCTTCCAACAACAACATTGATCTTACCTCTAAAGCCCGACAAGGTCCAAGCCGTGCAGCAGCAGCTGTCAAGCATACACCCTGAGGTTCTGTTGTTTCTTTCAAAGATTAAGAAGCTCTCAGTCAGGGAAGATAATGAGGATCCAAGTCTCAACACTGTTAGTGCTATTGAGATAGCGAGTGAGACTGACTTTGTGACGAGGAAGAACATCGATGCGCAGTCCTACACCCTCCATCTCTCTGCAGAAGAAAGTGGTAATGTGTTTGAAAATGAATGTGGCTATTATATGTGGAAGCAGAAGTTTCCTGTCAAGCAGGAATGCAGAGTTGAGAGGAGAATGGAGGTGGATGAGTGGGTGATCACCCTCGCATTTCCAATAGGAGAACGCCTTCGCAGAGGAATGAACACTTCTTCTGGGATCTATGCATTCCTTCCAACTGAGATGGTGACAAATTTTCCCTTCATAATTCAAGCTGATTTTCTTCTTGCATCATCAAGGGAAACAATTCTCCTGGACAACAAATGGAATAAGGGTATTCTTGATTGCGTGCCCACTGCATTTGTTAATGCATTTATCTCGCTTGTTAGATCTATTGTAGATGCTCCTGTGTCTAGTTTGCCTCATATGTTCAAGTTCCTGCCTGTCCAGAGCTCTTCCTATGAAGAATTGAATGTTGTCAGGGAGTCTATAAAGGCAAAAATTGTTGAGGAAAGCATTGTCCCTAGTGAGCCCCACAAGGAGCAGAAGTTCTTTTACAAACCTCGTGAAGTGGGTAGGTTGATGCCTGATTTTTGGAATATTTTGAGGAATGCGGAGGATCAAGGGGTAAGTTTGATTAATCTCTCATCTCATGGAAGATATGTTCTGTCGTATTCATTTGACAAGGTCGAGTATGATCACATACTGAGTTTCCTGGGAGTTGAACCGGTAGACAATGAATGGTATGCTAAATGCATCCAGGGTACTTCCAATCTTGTAACTGGGGTGTCGGATGTTGTCTACTTGGAGCTTCTTCTGTTTATTGCTGATAATTGGGGGTCCAAATTTTGCCGCTCTAGCATCAAGAACATATCCTTAATTAAATGTGTGGGGAATGGAATTAAATCTTTGTGCAGCATAAGTGCAATCCAGAATAGTCGAAGTAAAGTTTGCCTATCCATTAATTCTTGTCATGTCTCATGGCTGATTGATTGGAACTGCGAGTTTATATCCGTTGCTAGCCTTCTTTTTATGCCAAAAATCACACAGGAAGCTATCTGGTCGTGTTCTCGGAAGGAGACATTGGTGAAATGGCTTTCGGATCAAGTCAAGGTCTGTTCTGTAAGCCTATATGAATATGCAGTTGATCTCTTTGACAAGTCACTTAATGAGAGGAAGCTTGTTATTGCAATTGCCCACTTTTTGTATCAGTCATTGTGCAAAAGTTACATCTCAGATCGAGAAGTTGATAAATTATGCGGAATTATGCCTCTGGTGGATAAGTATGGGAGCATCATCAAATATAGGGCTGGGGTTATTGTCCCTGCCAATGGAAGCAAATGGGCGGGGTTAACTGATTCTAATGTGTGGAGAAAAGAAGGCTATGTTGAGTTAAGAGAAGATTATTTGGATTCAGGTCGTTTTGCTGGTAACTTTACACCACAGAAGAAGCTCCTTGAGTTTCTTAAAGTTCATGCTGGAGCTTTGGATGTCCCTTATATATCTGCCCCAAGTGATGGTATATCATCATTATCTGCTCAACTTACTAAGCAAAATGCATTTTTGCTTTTGGACTGGATTCATCACCTCATGTATCAAGGTGTTCGAATCCCACAGAAGTTCTTGACGTGCATAAAAGATGGGGGCTGGCTGAAAGTTACTTTGAATGGCTCTTCTGGTGTCAGGCCACCTTCACAGTCATTCCTACTTAAGTCATCATGGGGAAACATTTTGCAGGATGGCTCCGTTTTTGTTGATATCCCATTGATTGATCAGAGTTATTATGGTGAGAGAATTAATAGTTACAAGGACGAGCTGAAAAAGATTGGAGTCAGGTTTGAGTATGCTGAAGCATGTGAATATATGGGGAAGCATCTAATGTCTCTTGCTTCGTCTTCCACTCTAACCCGAGACAATGTACTTTCTGTGCTACGTTTCATCAAGTTTTTAAGAGACAAGTATCTTTCCCCAGACGATTTTATCTGCAGTATTAAAGAAGGCCAGTGGCTTAAAACATCCCTTGGCTTCAAGTCTCCGGTAGGATCAGTCTTGTCTGATAAAGAGTGGGAAATTGCATCAAAAGTAAGTGACATTCCCTTTATCGATAAAGCATTCTATGGTGGTGAAATATGTAAATTCAAAACAGAACTTGAGTTGCTTGGTGTGGTTGTCTCCATCAGCAAAAGTTACCAGCTTATAATTGACAACCTGAAATCACCTTCTCGCTTAACTTCTCTGCCAGCTGAGGCTGTTCTATTGATGCTTGAATGTATGCAGCTTTCCAGTTCATCTGAGAAACTTGTCAGAGCATTGAAAGAAACTAAGTGCCTGAAGACAACAGTTGGTTACAAGTCTCCAAAGGAATGTTTCCTGCCCCAAGTTGAATGGGGCTGCATTCTGCAGGTATTCAGTGGTCTCCCATTGATTGATCACAATTTCTATGGAAAAGGAATATATTCCTACAGAAATGAGCTGAAGAAAACAGGGGTGGTTGTTGATTTTGATGAGGCTGCAAAAGTATTTGCTCTCTATTTCAGGCAGTATGCATCATCGGCTTCCATCACCAAAGAAAATGTTGCATCTTTTCTGTCCTGTTACAGAACGCTGAAGGGAACTCCATTTAAATTATCTGCAGATCTTAAGAGCTGCATTCGCGAGGTAAAGTGGTTGCGTACTCGCCTTGGTGATTATAGATCTCCGAAAGAGTGCATTCTGTTTTGTTCTGATTGGGAATCTATCTCTCCCATATGCCTTCTCCCTTTTATTGACGATTCTGACACTTGTTATGGCAAGAAAATTCATGAATATAACCAAGAGCTGAAGAGCTTGGGGGTTGTTGTGGAATTCAAGGATGGGGTCAAGTTTGTGCCTTCTTGTCTTTATCTTCCCCAGAATCCGAGCAGCATTTCTCGAGAAAATGCACTTGCTTTGCTGGACTGCATACATATTTTGTTGGAGGAGAAAGATTACTCCTTTCCTGATGTGTTCACGAAGAAAGTTTCTCAGGCATGGCTGAAGGCTCATGATGGTTACAAGCCTCCAAGCAAGTGCTTGTTGTTTGATTCCGAGTTTGGTAAGTATCTAAGGCAGACTGATGGACCTTTCATTGATGAAGAGTTTTATGGTTCTAAAATTACAACATACAGAAAAGAGCTCTCTGCAATACGGGTGATTGTTGAAGTTGACAAAGGATGTCCTTTGATTGCCAGTCAGCTTGCTCTTCATGATGAATTGTCCACTTTTGTTCGAGTATATAGTTACTTGAGTGAGTTTAAGTGGGAGCCGGATAGCAAGGCTGACAAAAGGATCTGGTTTCCAAAGGGAAATCAGAATGGAGAGTGGGTTAATCCAGAAGAGTGTGTTATATATGACAAGGATGAGCTGTTTGGCTTGCAGTTGACTGTTCTGGAGAAATACTTTGAGCATAACCTATTGGTGTTCTTCTCCCGTGCTTATGGGGTAAAGTCCTGTCCTTCAATTGAAGACTACTGCAGGCTCTGGAAGGTGTGGGAAAATTTTGAAAGTGGATTGTTGCAAGATCAATGTTGCAAATTCTGGGGGTATGTTTCAAAGCACTGGAATTCAAAAACGGAGAAAACTCTTGCTGAGGCTTTGGTGAAAGTACCTATTAATTCAGGCTCCGCTGGAATCTTGTTGTGCAACAAGGAAGATGTTTTCATTGCTGATGACCTTCAGCTGCAGTATCTTTTTGAACAGTCTTCTCACCAAGTTTTTGTTTGGTACCCTCAGCCTAGCCTGGCTTCCTTGCCTAGGAATAAGTTGCTTGAAATTTACAGAGAAATTGGTGTTCGTACTATCTCTGAATCAGTGCAGAAGGAAGAACTATTCCTAGTAAATGATGTTGAACTACAGTTAATTCCAACAGAGAAATTGATCGGGAAAGCGCTGCTCAGGCTGATACTTGGTTTTCTAGCTTGTCCTCCCATTAAAATGGAAGCGGAGAAAAGGCAAAAAGCTGTCCGAGGTCTTGCCAATGTTGCTGTTGTGGAGACATCTGAACCAATCACTGTAAGCTATGATCTACCATTATCTTCTGGGAAAATTTTGAATGTGAGAGGTAGCCGAAAGGTACGATGGGATAGAGAAGATTCCAAAATTTTCACCGAGAAGATGGACAGATCTGGAGGATATAAGAGCATCATTGAGTTTGCTACATATTTCTCTGAGGCAATTTCTGAGTTTGTACTGTGGGAGATCCCTGATCATATACATGCACTTTCTGGGCTGATCAAGTTGGCCTTTGTGCTAAACCTTGATGAGGAAGCAGTTACTTTCTTGATGAAGTCCAATAATTTGCAGATCTTCGTGGAGGATGAGGAGTTTCTGAATTCAGCCTACCATTCTGAGTAGTTATGCTATGTGGTTACAATTATAATAGTCTCTCAGATGATGATTTGAACTATATTTTGTTTTGGTTGTATGCTTTTGTCTGTTGGATTCTGTTGTTATTCTGAACAAGTTATTTCTCTTTTATGATATGAAGCTTATTCTATCATCTGGTATTTTCATAATCGTTTACTTTCATCTGGTATTTTTTTATTGTTAAAGATATTTCACACTACTTTGGAATCTCTACCAGAGGTGAGATTTTTGACATACTGCTTGGTTGTTAGCATAATGATCCTTGACTTACAAGTCCTAATAGATTTTAGTTTGATGGAAAAAATTATGCCCTGCATTGAAGTTACTGAGACTTTCTCAGACTTTCCTAAGATAATCTTTCATTGCATTTAGCAGTTTTAAGTAAGCTGAAAGGAGCTTAATCAAATTATGTCTTCAACTTAAAACTCTGTCATATTGTTCTTATCTTGCAAATCTGTTGGAACATGTTTGTCATTAGGAGAAATTGCACTACAAGTTCTTAAGAAATTGGAAATGTTTAACTAATCTAGCGGCCTGAGATATTGCTAATATACTAAATGTGGTCGTACATTAAATTTTTTGTTTGATTTCTTTGTACATAAGGTCACTTTTAGATTGCCATGCCTTATCAAAATCACAATATACATGCTATGCAGAGTGAACTCAACTCAACATTGTGTCAGATTTTGTCTGCAAATGCGACCATAGAGGAAAAAGCTTGTCAACAGTACAAGTGCAATGCGTGTAATAACAATGTACATCTGCTGATTACATTGGGACACAAATTTTGATCTGATAAACTTTCTACCTTTGCAAAAAGGACATGACTTATAAGTCATGGCCTAGAAATTACAGGAAAAAGGAAATCCCAATGGCCAAGTACAAGAAATAAGATGGAAGGAAAAAGATGAAAAATACTCTCACTCTTCCTGCTCATTCCTCTTAGCTGACGCGTCTGCTCTTGTGCAGCTCCATCCTGCACAACAATATAGGTGCCGTCCCACCCTGCAATGGTAAGAGATAAGTGGAATATGGGGTTGGCAATTTCGAACCCGAGGCCTCTTGGCTTCTTGGAACCAAGCTTTCAGGGAATGGATCAACAATGTATATCAAGCCTCACAATTCCTGATGCAATCATGTGGCTGCAGATTTCTTAGCAGCTACATAGGTGGTTCTGTCGTGGCCACCAGTGCAACCTGCGTAGTAGCATCCTTTAACGTTCAATAGATTCTTTACAGTGTTTGGTCTGAGTGCATTTTTTATTCTTCTTCTTCTCCTTCCTTTCTGTTTTGTCTTTGTGTCCTGGACCTGAAACATGAAATGAAACACTTAGAGAACAGAAAACCAATCTTTTTACTGCTTATATTATAACAAGGCTAATTAATTAATTAATCAAAGAACTCATAGGATATTTACATCGTTGGTTTCAATCATCGACCTTACGCTATCAACACTGCTGTCAGCAGACTCAGCACTTGGTGATTTCTTATGCTTGAAATCCTCATCTGTGATGTCGTTCTTACCTGCATTACATCAATTCCACAACTGATCATTTTTCTTGTCCATTAAGGAATACTCTACAAATTACATGCACCCCATTTTCTATGTTGCAACTTACTGTCATCATTTTCTATTTCCAGAGGTTCCATGCAATAAACTTTGAAACTTGGTGACGCCGGACACAGATAGATTTTGCTGTTCCGTTGCATGCCCGCATCATTAACTTCATCCTCTTCCTCTTCCTCTCCCTCTGTGGTTTCCTCCATTGCAAAAACTCCCCCTATATACACTGTCACCCCCTTGGCCTCTTTATCGTCTTCCACACTAAACTCCGCCCCATCTCTCCTGATCTGGTCCTCATCAGACTGTTTTGTTCCTCTGTCAAGCTCTGGCAATCTTGGTACCAACTCCAATGTTGGTGGTGTTTCAGGAGATGGTAAATTTTCAAACTCTGGTGAAGACTGCAGCGAATGAGGCAGAGAGATATCTACCTCTTCTTGTTCACCATCCTTAAGTAGCTGTTTCTTGGAGTAAGTGTGGGAGGCTTTTAGTTTTTTTGCCTTTGTCCGGCCTCTGATCTCCTCAAATTTTCTCTGCAAGAGTGAACGAATTCGAGGAGGCACAGCTTCACCTTCTGGGGTGAGCTTTGAGTTTTGGCCACCCATTGGAGAGGAGAACAATGGGAGGTTAGGCCACAATGGCAGGGGGAAGAGATGCAGAAGATAAGTGGTTAGAAAAAACTTATGAGGTAGAATGGAGAATTTGAAAGAGAAGGGTCAAAGGGAGTTAAATAATTATAGGATAAACTTGATGCTAATAAAAAATTAATAATATGGATATATTTGGTTTGGTGAACTGTACACTACGGTTTTAGATTTGCTTGTGGTTAATAATAGCAAATTGTTGGTGTTTTGCAAACTCAGCTCTGACTATGAATCTCCTATATTTGTGAACTTTCAATTTTTCCAGTTGTGCCCTGCTGCCTGTCATGATCAAACAAACTTACTATATTTGTAGTTGTGTACATGTTTTGCTGTTTCTTTCTTTGTTTTGGTTTTGGTTTTGCTTTTGGTTTTGGGGCCATGTATTTCGGTTGTTGAAAGAGTCTTGCGCAGTGCCTTAGCAAGAGTCAAAGGAGAAATGTATGCCAGCTCCTGTTTATCTCTGCCAACCATATGTGCCAGCTTCAACAAAATCTCAAGAGCCTCATATCATAGCATTCTTCTGACCTCTCTGAGCTCTAAACAGAACAGATAATTAAGATGGCTACAACTACAAGTCCAATTTCATTGCAATGCAAATGTAATGTGAATGAGCCAATTTCCGAATAATTAAAGAGAAAACCTGAATTATATGGATCCTTTGCTTATTTAGTGGTATTTCTCTTCTCAATGTTGAAAGATGTCTCAAGTTCAAATTTTGCCTATCTCGTCGATAAAAATAGAATAATAGAAAATTAGCTTTAGGTTTGTTCTTCATGACATTGAAAAGACTTGTTGTGTGCCCCTTTAGACAAAGAAATTGACTTTGTATCAATTAAGCAAGGAATCCAAACAAAAATCTTCATACGTTTATTTATTTATTTTTGTGTAAATGCTTATGTTTCTTTCAACTTTTAAAACAAGGAAAGAAGCTGAAATCAACCCATGTGCGCGCCCACATTCTAGGTGGGGCTAGCTTTCATTTTGGACCCGGTTCTCTCCAAAAAGGACTTTTCTTTATGCGAAGTTGATATATGCTTTGCTTTCTTTGCTTCCTTCTCTCTTATCATGGTGACCCCTTTGAAAAATCAATTGCCTTTATGAGTGAAAAGCTAGAGATTCCTGTGGCAATAATCCCTACCCCTTACTTTTTTTTACCATCTCAACTTCAAACAAGGATGCTAAGCATTAGGTTCATTTTAAAAGTTACTAATTTTTACATCCACCAATATCTTAAGAGCACTAGGGTTTGTGGAAGTACTTTAATATCTTCACAAAGAAAAAGAAGATTCATTTCCTTTTATGGACTTGGAACATAAAATCATTCTAGAAGAGAAAAGTTTATATATTACTGCTACATTAACATGATCAAAACTTAGTGCACCCGCTGATTTCTTCTTCATCACCTGCTTCACTTGAAGAAGTTACTTCTGTGATCCCACTAGAACTTGAGCAAGATGAAGAAGATGACACAGGACTTTGATTATTATTAGTCTGAGGTGCATGAACCATTTCAGAATTGTTAACTCTGATGCCTTCCTCATCATCAGTCTTACAACTTCTTTTCTTCGAAAATATTCGACACAGAACCCAATTTTCTTTCTGGTTTAAAGCATTCTGTAGAAAATCACAAGCAGATTCAAATGGTGTTTCTTGATTATTGGGTTTGTGGCATGCACAAAAACAAGAACTTTATTGTAAACTCACCTCGGCTGTGTTGATGGAGGCTGTAGTTTCTGCATTGACAAGGCAATACTCATGCATGACCCAATCAGTTTTACAACCATTTGGAGCCTTTCCTCTGTAGAAAACAAGAGTCTTTTTCTTCCCCACAATATGGTTCCTCCTTGAAGATACAATCTTTTTATCAGTGCCGGTGGCTTTCCAGTAACCAGAACTTGTCACCCTGTTGGCTCTGCTCCCATTCCTGTATTTTGATTCCTTGTTGCTGAAGAAATATCTCTCTTGCTCCAAATCACCTACACACAGACCACACATTACATACATACATACATATATATATATATATATATAAGTCTCTTATTATAAATGGAAAACTATATACTTAAGCACATATTAAACATAATTATTTTCAGCTAACCTGGCAAATCCCAAGGATCATACATGCAAACATTGACCTCAGGAATTATTGAAGCAGGCAGAGGGCATGAAAAGACTTTGCATCTTAGGTACTGAAAGACCAGCTCTTCATCTGTAGGCTGGAAACGAAAACCAGGAGGCAATCTGATCATCCCATTTCTAACAAAGTTGAACTTGTCCATTGTTGAAAAACAAAAACAAAAATGACAGCCTTTTTCTTGATTCTTATTGGCCTCTGTCCACTGAGATGAGGAATGCCAAGCAACCATGTCAAGTATTTATAGTCCAAGAGAAAGAATTTGGAGAGAGAGTATCTTTTGAGTGGTTGTGCAAGAAAAAGAAAAAGAAAATTGATTCCAAGCTAGCTAGCGGCGGTGTGAATATAGAATGGGACAACAATCACTGGATTAATACTTTTTCATGTTTGACAATAAAAAAAGCTTTTTTACTGACTTAAAAGATCCTTTTCTTGTTTTCTACATGTAATAATCTCTGTAATTTGTGATGCAAATTAAATTCTTAGATAAATCTAAGTCGTTGTTTTAGTTGGCATCTCATCTCATGTGAAAGAAAGACATGTTAACAAGCAACCAAAGAGCATTGGGGCTTATCAGCAATTATCAGATATTATTATATTTGAGGTGTTGATGAGGCCGTGGTGATTTTGAAGGTAAGTTCACATTTTATTTTTTTATAAATTAAGATGGATTGGTGAAGATTTTCTTGTAGAGATGAAGTCATCCGATGTCATGCTTACTAATCAGATGGGAAACACGCATAATTAAGTTAAGGGTGATTTTATTGGCACCCATTATTTGTTTTTTGCACCCCATACTAATTTTAAACATGAATAACCTATTTTACCCTTGTACATAAGTACAGTTAAGAACAAAAAACATTTAAAATAAAAAATAAATTTGCTCACTACACCCCACATATATTCCTGCAACCCTAGTAAGATTTTTTTCTCAAACCATCATATTCCTACAACCCTAACAAGGTTTATACACTTATATTGGTGAAAAAATATCTTGCATTTATTCATGAATGGTGAGACTAAAGTTAGAGAGGCTTTGAATACATTATGAGTTTATTTTTTGGTGTTTTTCAAGTTTTGGATTTCATGATGGTCACTAGTTGCATTCAGCATACCAGTATCGAACTCGATAGATAAATTTGGTGGGATGCCACCGAAACATTGCACCTATTTCGGTTGTGTTTGACCAGCCAAGATGCGGTGGAGATCCACCGTAACATGGAACGGTGTTTGGTGGTGTATTACCAAAATTTTACCTACAATTTAGTGGCAACGAACCAAAATATATTTATTTTTTCAGTAACTTGTTGTCAACCACAAATTTAATGCAAGCTATTTTGACCTTATTCCCATTAAAGGAACTAAAACAAGGTGACGCCCCTAAAATAGATGACACATCATCTAATGTGATGGTCATCTCATTAAAAGGCATATGAAAGGTGTTCGTTTCGGGATGCCACCTCTCAACGAATGTATATACAACAATCTTATCTACATTCCGATAAGAACACCTAATAAATTGCTTAATCCAGACATCTGAATGCACCCTTTGAATATACTATTATTTGGATTAGTCCACCAATTCCACTCACGAATGGTAGATGTCTTCGACATGCACCTAAGGGGCTCATGTTCCTAGTCAAATACAAAAAAAAAAAAATATTTAGGTTAATTACCATGAACGAGACTTATATTATGCATTCTATTGTTACAGTAAAACGACTTACCTGGTTATTCCAAATTGCAACTGCTATGTGAGTTTTAAAACTCATAAGTAACGACGGATTATTGGGACCTACTCGAGATGGCTCAGTAGGCTCGGCATCTACCTCAACATTAGTATCATGAGTAGCAGCTACATCTTCAACCTCTGCGTCAACATTACTATCAGCAGCTACATCTTCAACCTCTATAGTATCCTCAAAGTGGTTTGGGAGACCATGTTGGGGCTGGTCCTCTTGAGAGGCTAACCACGCCGCTCTATGTCTCCTTGTTGAGGTTGTGGGACGTTATCTATCAAGTCGAGATGACAAAGCCTCAGTAGTACCTCTGCAAGTCCTCTTCATATCTAAAAAACAATATTAAGTACAAACTCGGATAACGAATTTGGTAGATGATCATTGAAACAAGAAACGAATTCACTAAAACAAGAAACGAATTCAGTAGACTACCACTAAAAAACTGAAACACATTCAGTGGACTACCATTGAAAAATTGAAACAAATTCGGGGACTACCCTTGAAAAACGGAAACACATTCGGTGGTCAGCCACTGAAAATGGAAACAAATTTGGTGGACTACCACTTAAACAATGTAACGATTTCGGTAGGATTTACACAGGTAAGTTAAGAAATGGGGTTCATGAGAGCAATTTCAGAAGAAAAATGGGGTGCAGTGAGTAATTTTAAATTTTACTAAAATTCAGTGGGGTGTAAAGAGAATGTAGGGTGCAAAGAGCAAATTTTGGGATGCCAATAAAATCACCCTTAAATTAATTATTTACCTCAAGTAATTATCACAATTGATCAATGGTCCAATGCTATGAAACTTATTTTTGTAGTCAACTCCCTCCCAAATCCTTATTAATCCCTTGATCACTATTATGATGAGTTTTACCCATCATACACATACCCTAATTTTTTGTTTCACAAACAACAAAACAAAATTACGGGTCTGTTTGGAAGTTCTTATGTAGGAAGCACATATGCTCATAAGCCATTTTTACTAGAAGCAGTTTTGTTAGAAGCACAACAAAATGTTCATTAAAAAAATCCAAGTGTTTCATGAAGAAAGCAATTGATAGATTCTTCTTTATAAAACGCTTTATTCAAAAGTGTGTGGTAAATACTTTTAACCATTTTAGAAGCACACGAAGGATAATAAACAAATCCCTATTATTCGACATGCAATCGTGTAATGTACTATATGGCTGTTGAGTAATTGTCTCTAAAAGAAAACTTCAACGGACCTTATGAAATAACTCAGCCATGTTCAACCCGATACAGGGAACTCCAAAATCATGGACAGTGTAAGCCGATACCTTGATTCGTCCTCAGATGCCCTAGTGACTTAAGTTGCTTTTGGTTGTTCTTCCAAATGATTTTCCTTTTTCTTTTTCTTTAGTGGTTTTGGATTAATTAGTTTAACTACTACATACTTTTCTTTTGAATTATGGATGGCTGACACATAAAGGCACCAAAGATTTTGGTTCCTTTTTCTCTCTGAACAATTGTTTGAATGAAAGAGTCCCAAAAAAGCCCCTGCGTTTCTAAAAAGCTAAGCTGCCTAATCCTTACAGAGCTAGTCAACTCAGATTGGTACTTTCCTTCATTGCGAAGATGTAGCTTTAGTTCCCTCTTTCCATGCATGCAAATGTTGGATTTAGAGATCTTCTTCATTCTAATTTAAAAAGCACCCAATTTGTTTAAAAAAACATGCTGTCTGGCCAATTGCTTGAGACACAGCAACAAAAGCTAACATGCTTGTTTTCTTGTGTTATATATATATATATATAATCTTTGTTGGTCATGTCTTATGGCTTCATACATGGCCCTCAATGCTGCTGCTTTCTCTTTCCATTGATCTAAAGCGATTCTTTCATTTCAATATTTGGTTTAATTCAGTGAGTTTTGTGTTCTTTAGAGGGCATATTATTATTGGACTAAAGAAAAGACGTTAATGGTGGTGTGTATAAATGGGCATATCATGCATGTGTTTTTAGTATCAAAAAGTTTAAGAACGGAGGAAAGGGAGCCAATGCTTAATGCATAAGAAAGTCTTTCAAAATTTGCTCTCTTTTCAAAACACTTTGCCTATATCTCTACTTTAAACAATTTTCATGGTTGAATTGCCGGGATGTCAAACCATTTCCGTAAGGTTTAGTTAACATGCTTTCATATATAATTATTTGCATAATCAACGAATCTTGTAATATCAAAACTATGTCACTTATTTGTATCTAACGAGTAACTTTTCAATGTGACCGTAACATCACCATGTGACGTGGTATAACAATTCACACATATTATAACACGTGTATATTTATTAATAATACATTCTAAAGTTATAAATTAAAAAAATTAAAAAAAACTTGGCTCCTACTCATACATATGGATTAATAATACTCACGAGAAGGTGTTACGGTCACATGATCACACACAAAAATTTCCTATTGGGCCTATACTATCTTCTTATTGGTCTCAATCCACATCTTCTTCTTTGGGCCTAGAAAACCAAAAGGTTGAAGTTAAAATAATGGGCTCCAAATCCTGTTTTCTGGTAAGATCTTGCCCAACAATTTTAGTCCCTCGCATTTGTTGTTCGGTGTCTTTATGAGGCTTTAGCAAGTTTTAGGGTTTTGCAGAGCGTGAGACGGTGAGTGTTCACAAAGCTGAAGAATTTAGAGGGTTTTAGCGGATAGCGAGCACAAACTGCCATGGATCCTTCATCAATGAACAACCCTGAGCTCCTTCAGTTCATCAACGTAAGTTCCTGGTCTTCTTCTCCCCTGTCTAATTCCCTCGAAATCTCATGAGAAAGAACAGAAAGTTATTTGCTTTCGATTGGAGCGGCTCATAACTCTGAATTTATTGGGTTTAGGGTTTCTGTTTTTATTTTTAAATCTATATGTTTAGTATTGCATATTATATAGTCCATATCGTTGAGTATGTCTGCATATTCCATTGAAAGCTGGAATTTTGATCCCTTGCTGCTTCAAGCTTTCGTTTTTCTGAATTTGGTTCTGACTCCTACTTTTGTTTTCGATTATAAGTTTTCCCAAATAATCTTAAGATTTTATTTGAGCCCTCAATATACTTATGCATCAGAAATTGGCAGTTTTGGGGTTGCTTATACGTTATCATACTAAGTTATTTAAGAAATGTAAGAGTGAAAATCTTCATCTTTCAGTGTGTAGTTCAAGACTTCAATTCTTTAGAGTGGCCACTTTGCCCACATTGTTCAAAATGGTCCAAACCCTATAATTGTCTCTCAATTTCCCTTCAAGATCTCTATTTTATGGCTTGACATTGCGTTTTAGTGTTTTACTCCTTAATTCCAAATTGATGTTGGTACTAGTTGTGGGGAAAAAGAAGAACAATAAATGAATGATATGAAGATGTTGGCTATTTGAGATGTTAGCTGTATTAAACTAAGTTGAAAAGTTTTTGTTCTTGATTGTTTGCGCATTCACTAATTTCTAGTGATTGCTCTTGTAGTTTTGTCTAACAACATAAAGTTTTTCATGTCCTGCAAAACCAATTATTGTGTGATTATCACTATGTTATTGCTGTTGCTGCTGCTAGTTATGTTACGTGTTCAGCCAATATGTTATGCTATTGATGGTTTCTCTTTCTGAACAATCTTGCGCTTGCTGTGCAGCAAGAGAAGGAAAGAGCAATGGTGAACGAGATGGTGGGAAAGCTTACAAATGTATGTTGGGACAAGTGCATCACTGGTACGCCCGGGAGCAAGTTCAGTTCCAGTGAATCAGCTTGCCTTGCGAACTGTGCCCGCCGTTATTTGGATATGAGTATGATTATTATGAAGCGTTTTCAGAACATGCAATGAAGGTCTAGAGTTTGACGTACTTTCTCAATTCCAAGATGTGGTTCATTTTTGCTTCTGGAATCAATTATATACCAGTTGAATATGTTCTGTAATTCTGGAAACAGATTGTTCCCCCTTTCTTCCAACTATTGTATTTCAGCACTCTTACTTATCAATTTCATTTTTGGATGTTTCATCTTGTGATTAATTTGATGAATGAATTTTTACCAAAAGAAACAAAGGTGATGAATAAATTGCATGTTGCAGCATAGGGCCATAACTTGGTGCTCGAGGGTTGAGAATGAATTGCATTTAGTGCCAGAAAAAGCCTTGCTTAGGCGATAGGCAAAATGACAAAGGTAAAACAAATCTCGAACATAGGCAATCAATCACTTCCACATTCTATACCATCAAAATGAGGTGGTTAAATTACAGATGCGGAAAAAAGAAAAAGGAAGATAAACTCATAAATCAAGATGGCACACATTGGAAACAATCAACTGCCTGAGAGTCGTTCTTTTGAATTACACACTTATCTTACAAGCAATATGGCACAGCTTAACGACGTTAAAGATCGACAGCCTTCGCGTTTATCAAGTATTTATGAACTTATCTGAGATTGTTCAGTCTGTGTTGTAAAGTTGCCACTGATTCCATCAGTTACCCGTCTTGAGTCCCCAACTCCGGCTGACATAGCAAGAACTTCAGGTGATATATCTAAACTTCCACTCCTCCTTCCCCAGCTAGAACGCCTAGGATGTGAGGCAACATGTCTCTCTGTGCTCTCTGTTGGAAGGGTCCCACTTAAATCCTGGGATGCATCAGCCTCACTCGATCGAGGGTCCTTGTTTACGCCATCATCATTGCTATAATCACCCAACTCTTCTGAAGCCTCATTCCATAATGGTTTCCTCCCCATCTCTATGTCACTCATGGCTTTCCCCATGACAGGATTGACAAAATTGGCGCCAATTGGTGTAGGAAGAACTGGAGGATTTTTTGGAACTTTTTCCCTGAAATTGTTCCTGGATGGAGGAATTTTAGTGCAGAATATCTCCATGAAGTTCTTAATTGTCCCTCTGTTGAATGGGTTGTCTCGTCCATCATACCGGTATCTAAAATTTTCATAAGTAGACTGCCAAAGCACAACAAAACAGAACTCTAACATTACAAACTGAATAAACCCAAATTTGAAAAGTTTAAGTGGAATTATGGATATAAATATCACCATACACAGCACACCAGATAATGGTTTTGTTTGACTCTTGAGGCAGATGCCCCCTTGGTTTCTTGTTAAATGAGGACTATGCAGTGTGCTCTATTTGGTGATCATACCATAACAAGGTGATCAGGATGCCCAAGAGTTTCTTACCTGGTTTGTACTGATGAGATATGAGTGGAACATAGTAAGGCCACCAACAAACCAGAAGGCAATGAAACTGTAAATTATGAGCGCAATGGAGGCAGGAGTCTTAATTAGTGCTTTCCAAATCGATATATCTTCACTGTGCATGATCCTCACGACGTAGACCCAGCAAAACCCTTGTACATATACACAAAGAAGAGTTGCAGAGAAGACAAACATGAAGAAGAACCTGTAGTTTCGCTGCACCCAGAGCCAAAGGAAGTTTATTACATGCATAAACCTGAGCAATTTGTTTTAATCTTTTGTGATTATTCTAATCAATTATGAATTAGTCATCCAAGCAACCAAGCTCTCCCAACAAATAAAGAAGACGTAAATAAAAATGCAGCAAAGTTTAGGCCCTTAAAGCACTGTTCTCAGGGAGCTACTAGTTGGGAGTAAGCCTAATAATAGTGAATCCTTACCAATCCAATGCACTGGCCAACCCAAGGGCAGTGATGGTCAAACCGCTGCACACAGTTGTTGCATATCGAGCAGTGAGAACAACGAGGAGGTCTGTAAAGCATGCAGGTGTCACAGTACTTGATCTTCACAATTATACCATTGATAACTACTTCCTTCATTCGTGGAAAACGCGACTGTTGTGTTTCATTAGACCCACCCTCTATGCTCGCATCATAATCTTCTGGCTCTGGAGGGTGAACATTACGAGGTACTATACCAGGATCTCTTCCTGAGGTTAGTAGAAGAAGAACCAAAGCCTGAGAACAAAATATACATGCTTCTATTAATCAGGATAGAGTAGTAAGTACGAACTATTCAACTGATCTCACTTATAACTAGCACTAAACTTTTCAACTCGTTGCACCTAACTTTTGGAATAAGGATGTGATTTTATGATGCAAGAAAACTCTACCATTATAAGCTTGGGCGTTTCATGGTTTAGACTCATAGGATTCAAAGCATCATTCAGACATGCATGAAAAAGAAAGTGTTACATAAGTAGAAAACTAAGAATCAAAAGCTATGAACAAAGTTATGACATTCAATTGTAAGCAATGCTGCCTACTGTATAAACACCACTAACACATTGGTGAATTCCAAGCTTGAGCATTGAGCAAGAAGGTATATACAGTGTAACTGTTACAGGATTCAGATAGGAAAAGGACTTACGAGTAGTGTCAGTACAGAAACAGCAACAATTACTGAAATTCCCAAGTGATCAATGAGTTTTCTTGCTACAAGGCCACAGAAAACTGCAACAGGGGCAACAATGAGGAATACTGTTAACGGAAGAGATCTCACATCGGGTCCGAATATAAGCCTTCCACCAAGTAAAAATCTCTGCAGAATGGAACAGCCAACAATGTGCTTGAGTAAACATAATTGCATTAGCAAAAGAATGCACATGCTGCTACTAATAAGAAAAGAAAGAGAAACAAGAAGAAAAGCTTTTGAGATGTAATCACAAACAGAATCATCATATATTAAAAAGGGGGGAAATCCACAAGAAAGGTTATCCTCCCTTTATGCTGCACCATGGTCAATTTGCATAAATTAGCGTTCTCCGGATTGTATGGCTAAAAGGTAAACTGGGGCATTTAAGAGGTTTTAGGGGAAAATGGAAAAAGATAGCTAGATAGTTGATTTACACACCTAGAATCAAATACCCCAGTAAAAGAGATTGATGATGAAAGGAAGCCTAAAATGGAGAATTAATTGGTTGCCAATGCCCAAGTAGTGATTTAAATTCAAAGCTGAACAATAGAATTGGCCCCAATCCCAAGTGTTCCAAGCAATAACTAAAGCTAATCAGAGTCAATCCAATCACAAAACCAATTGCCATCCCATCCTCTAAAAGCAATCACACACCAAATCAATCAACTTAATTCTGTATATTTCAGCATCTTCCAAATTAGAAAAGCTTTCAATTTCAGCATATTTCAATCAAACCCCACAGAAAAACAAAACCCTTTCAATTTCAGCAACTGGGTAAGACCAAGACATCACAAAAGTGAGCAAAATCAAGAAAAGCAAACATCTTTCTAGCCTACACGATACTTTAAATTAAAACCCAAGTAAGAATTTAGCTCACATTGCTGCCTTCCCAGGTCTTGTAAGTTCTGACCAGCCCTGCTGCATCGGCAGCTCCGGCAGGGGAGGCCCGGAGGCGGTGATGTGGCTCAGCATTCATTATGTGCCTGTTGGGTTTTTCAAAGAAATGAAATAATTAAAAGCAAGAACCAAAGTCAAAGAAAGGCTACGGTGCTTTAGAGGTGGGCTTGAGAGTTGACTTTTCCTCTCTCATTCATTCTCATGAGCAGCATCCTCTGTAAGACTCTGAATAGTAGGTAAAAATCGAAGAATTAGCCATTAGGCGTCAAATTCCGGCAACAGAGCTTAGGTGGCAAGCCGTCACTGTTGTAAAGAGGTAGTAGAACAGGTCAAGTCTTGCAACTACATAGGCACGTACTCAATCATACATACAAATGTTGTAGGACACGTGTATTGTTGATGTATTGTTTTTGGCATTATAGTTGATTTATAATGTTGCTCTGGGGTTGTTTTGGGGACAAAGTCAGTCAGCATGACTTGTTTCTCTATCTGTCAAACATGGGATTTTCTGATGTTTAACTAAACAATAAAAGAATGGAAATTGAAACTGGCATTTTGTCCAGGTTGGGCTTATGGGCCTAATTTCTTTCTTTATATAATGGTATTTGTGTCTCGTTTGGATGCGGAGGGAATTGAAAGAAATGATTTAGATTTGAAAATGCTAAATTTGCTATAAAAATAAGTACATTAGATTGAATGTATTTGAAATAACCAGACATAGTACATTTGAAAAATATTTGAAATGACTATATGTACAGAATCATTTGAAATCCATTTGTTTTCTTCCTTTGTTTGTTGTCCAAATCTTGGCATAATGGATTGTAAATAGTATATATACAAACAACTCTGCCTTATAATGTCATCTAAATCTATAAATTTGAAATCCCTCCATTCAAATAGAACCTACATGTCATCTAAATCTATATATTTGGAATCCTTCCATCCAAATAGAACATATTAGTTATTTACTAGATTTGATGAGGGGTGGAAAAATGGTCGATGAGAAATTAGGAATGGAGGGTGAGAAAAGCACATCTTATACACCATTCTTCCTTCCTGATTTCCTCAATATACTTTTCTTCAATCTCTAGAAAATTAAAAATTAAAATTGAAATGGTCATCAAACGATACGATGGTCGACGATATTATTTGCTAATTTCTTAAACAGGAGATGTTGGAATAAAAGATGGACCCGCTCAAATAATTTACTGGGCCTATATCAAATTTAACCTGGTCCCATATTTTCCTTTTATGAGACCAACTAATTTTAGTCAACAAAACAAACAGCAAGACAAGAGGAAAGCCTAAACTCACAAAAAACCATGTGGGCTATTGGGTTCGCTTAGACTCTGGACTTGGAGCTCTACAGGCTGTCCACTTGGGCCGTCGACACGTTTCATTCTTCTTCAGTGAAGAGACAAATATACCCAAAAAAAAACAAAAATTTAAAAAGAGGTCCTACCGGGAGTCGAACCCAGGTCGCTGGATTCAAAGTCCAGAGTGCTAACCACTACACCATAGAACCAAGACGTCAATATCTGCTGAAACAACTTATTTATCATCTCTACTAGCACTAATTTTTTAATGTTATTGTTTTTTTAACGCGATAAGAATTGTCAAAGTATCTTTCTTGGCGTGGCATTCGTACGGTGTAATTGTTATTTTGTCTGATTCGTACGGTGTAATGGTGCTATGACAAAGGGTAAGAACAAGTAAGGAAAATACTATTCATGTAAATAGTAACTGTTTTGTCTCTTAACTGTTTCACTAAAACACCCAAAATGGGGGTTGAAATTATAAAAAAACCCAAGCACTATTTAAACATATAAACACATCCAAAACCCATCATTACACACACTCAAAACCCATTTATAAACACACCCAAAAAGTTGACTTTGGGGTTAATTTTGGGTGTGTTTCTATGTTTAAAACTTTAAATAGTGCTTGGGTTTTTTTATAAATACATGTCTAGGATTGGGTTTATTTATAAATTTGTATTTTTTTTTATGCATTCCCACTTATTGTCATGGCAATCCAAATGCAACCACTATTCACATGGGATATGAGGAGATAAATTTGTATTGATTTTGGTGTGGGAAGTGAATAACATAGCTAAGTATTTATTGAAGAAGAAAAAAATTGGTATATTTCCCTTATTTTTACTTTTATTATTTTGGTATTTAAATTAGTCGATAACGTCACACTAACGTCAACATGAAGTCAACTTGCCCAGGCAAGTTTTGTCTTTGGGCTGGCCCAATTTCATGGGCAACTTCTTGTCATGACAATTTTTCCTTGGGTGGAGGTTGATTTTGGAGCCTAACCCTCCTAGTCACATGGCAAAAGAGATGGGGTGGAAGTGGTCTTAAAGGTAAAAATTTAGGTGAAGTCTTAGAATTGGATTTACTTTGTTATAGTTTCCCTTATTGCAACCTATAGGGAAATACTTGTCACTTTCCTATGTAAGTACTAATTTCTACTTTCTTGCCAATCACATGAAGACATGTATGCAGAAATCCTTTTTTGTACATTTTGATTAATTATTTTTATATATGCATCGAACTATGATTACTTAAAGGAGGAATGTCTCATTACAAGAAAGGAGGCAATCATTATTTAGTGTCCCGACCTATGAAAGAATTAATGACCCCATTACTTTTGTCTCTTGAGAATAAAGGGTACATAGTATATGGATAAGGCTGGCTTTGCAGCTAGATATTCAATATAAAGCAATTCAATAATGAAAATCGGTGATTGATATGATGATTTATATCAAGTTCATAGTTAAGCTAAGGCAGCGGGAAAGGCAATTTGAGAGGATAAGAGATCGTCAGACTTGGCGGTTGGTATATGATTTTATATCATGGAAGTGTATGTGCTCCGTCCAATTATTTGCCCTAAAAAAGTGAGTGGGATCTCTTAGGACATAGGCGAGACAAATCCATCTCTGATAACTCTTGAGCAACCAAGAAGAAAAGATAATAGATAATGCATGCCGATATCATGCACCCCATAAAACAAAACACATAAAAATTTTATCAGATATTATCTAGAACAGCGTTTTGATCCATAAATCATGTATTAGATTCTTTCTTCTTTTGTTTTTGGTGATTATGTTCCTCAGCAAAGACCTCTTCACGGCTCCTTTGGACACTCAAATGTTGTTGGAACACACCTCATTGCGCACAATATCTCAAATACCAGTGATAAAATTTGAACAAAAAAAGAAAAAGGCTTTTCTTCCATGGAGACAAACAAAGGTGGTACCAATTAATACTACACTTTCAGAATGAAAACCATGGATATTATCAGAATTGGATAGCATTCCAACCCTTAATTCATTAAATATACAATTGATATGATTACTTTTTGTTGGATGACGAAGTAATGATATGAATCTTTTTTATGTTTTTAGTGGAATTCTTGGAGGTGTCCCGATGTTTGGTATAGTTTGTTGGCCGCAGGTGTCTTGTTTTTACCATACAAATTAGTGCAAAAATGACGGTGATAGAAACAAAAGCCAAGATCGAAGCAATGACTTGCTCTATTAAGTGTATATAAATTATGGGTAAAAATACAAGATACATTGTTATGGTTTGATTTTTTTAAGCTTTATCTGTTTTTTTAATAATTCTAAGCTTGTAATCTTAGTTAGGATGCTTATATCATGTGTGATCATTAATGGAGACACACCAGATTGTCTTAATTTTGATGTTAGACCGTTCCGTTATTATAATGGCTCTTTTTTTGTTAGTTTGCATTAGTCATTTATAATTAGTAGCTTTTTTGACTGAATTATGAATGCAATCATATAATTTCTCAACAACAAAAAAACAAAATACCCACCTATATGAAAGAGGCAATCATCAATGTGATACAAATAACATCACTCCAAAGAAAAGATGAAGGATTGCATATATAGTTTTAGTCAAATGCACAGTAGAGATACCTCTCGTTCAAAACCAAACGCAGCCAGTAAAGCAACTTTTTCTAGATTTCACTGAATCTATAATTATATTCTAATTGGGAATGAAAAAGGTTCTGATTAACATAATCATCTAACATTAATGTGAATTTTTTTTTTCTGGGTCTACTTCGATTCATGTAGAGAAGCTCTTGCCACGTCGACGTGTCCCGGCTGGTTTGCGTATCAAACTCAGAATTTGTGGGAGACTGGAATTGCTCTTGCTAAATCTGGATATATATAATTAATTATAGATTAATTTAAATTTAGGTGATAAACCACTAGGTCAGTAGGTCAGTAGGTAGAGGCCTAGAGCTAAGACCAATACTGTTTTGCTTAATCATTCACAAATATCATATGCAATCAAATCAATGGAGTTTTGTTAGCTAGACCTGAATCCTCCTGATACACGCATTGCAGTGCAGAGGTGATAAGGGTTTCACAAGTGGCATCATCAATTAGCTACTAAGTAGGGTTTATCTGTGACGTTAAACCCCCTTTTGCTTTGATAAGATTATTTAGAAATGTTAATTGTATGACGAATGCCCACGTATCAATTCTTCAAAAGCAGAAAATAAATAAAGAAGTGGCCCTAGCCTATATTATGTCACCCCTGATTTTGCTTTGAGTGAAATTATTTCCCCATGTGACCGTGTCGAACGCACCTATGTTGCAGGGGCGGAGTCATGGAGGGACCATAGTGGCCCCATGCCCCCCTCTATCTTTTTACCTCTTATATTTATATATTATATAATATATTAGATTGTTTTGGTTTGATATGTAAATTAGTGACTTTTGAGTCTTCAATGGTGTGGATAATGAGATTAATATTTAACTATTTTAAAATCTGAAATTCATGACAATTATGATTGTAATGAATGGATAAATTATTAGGCAATATGAAATGATATTATGAAGTGGGCTAAACCAATTAGTTAGTACTATATTAACTTATTAAACGGGTAGCGCTTAAGTGCTCCTATTCGAAATATTTTTTAAAATTTTGTAAAGAGCCCCTCTAATGTAAAATCCTGGCTCCACCAAAGCTCTAATTTAGGCATATGTACTCACTTGAAAATAAAATTGCAAGTTTAAGCATTTAATTTGTTCAACAAATTTGACTAATTTATAATAGTTTGTTAATGCTTTTTCATTTTCACCTTGGTTGCTAGCTTCTAGTTGTCTTGTTATGCTTCTTATCATTATGTCATATTTGTTTTTTTTTTTCTTATATTATATTCCTTGTATTATTATATACTAGTTTTTTCATCACTCTTTATATAGTATCTTATATTAAACATTAGTTATAAAATAAAGTTTTGTCAATTTTCTTTTTCACAAGTTACTTAGGTGAAAAATATAAATTTACATGTGGATGGCATTTTAATAATCAAATTAGTTTAGGTTCTAATTCATGGGAATTAGTAAACAATAAAAATGGGAATCAACTCCATTCATGTGCTAATTTCATATGGTTAATAAAATAGCTTAATTGGAATGATTCTTCCCGTACCAATTCATTACTTCCCCGATTCCTAAATTCCTCAATCCTTACTTGTCCATTCCTGGTAAGTAAATGCCCCCTCAAATTGAAGTCCGCCACTAACACTCAACATAGGGAATTGTCCATGGTGATAATAATATTGTATACAATACAACTCTTACTTTATCAATGCTGAGACAAAATATTGTACAAACAATGAATCTTTGTTTTTTCTTTTGGTCAACTAAAAAACAATGAATCAGCCCAGGTAAGATTGGTATGGTAATGGGCTGAGTAAAAAATTCATATAAAATAATATCTCAAGCGCCATGTGACAATGTCGGATGTTGTTACGAAGCCATGTACGTCTCTGAATCTTAAACTCACAAATAATACATAGTAAAAAGTCACTAATTTCTCCAAATGGAATGGTGAAAATAAGTGCACTCACAAATAATACATAGTAAAAAGTCACTAATTTCACCAAATGGAAAGGTGAAAATGGTGCACTTATTTATCTCTTCTCCTTCTCTCTTTATAATTGGTTGTAATGTTTATTTGGCGAGTTGAATTATTAAGTTGGATAAGATTTATAATTCAAGGTTAAATATTTGGTGTTTTAAAAACATCATGGATTGGATTATGTCTAATTCTATTACGGTCAAATGTAGTAGGATTATGAATCCTACCAAAAGGTATGTAATAGCGCATGTCAATTAATCCAACCCCTTAATCATGTATAGTGTTATCATTTCCAATCAAATGTAATCCAATTCAATCTTAGTCACCAAACATGACCTGGTGTCATACTTAGGACTTTTTCATATAAAATGTTGTTCTCTCGTTAAAGCTGGGCCCACGGACCAAAACTATATTGGAATTAAAACTGATGAAAAACTTAGTGCAAGGTCAATTAATGACTCAATACCTCGGAATTACTCAAATCATTTAAAAATTGTAAAATAAAAATAAATAAAAAAAAAAAAAAAAAAAAAAAAAAAAAAAACCAATCTTCAATCTTCACTCAACATTCAAATATAGTTTCGCAACGTATCGCAATCTCATCTCTCTCTAGCCCACCAACGGTAATCACCTGAGAGCTTGTCATTAAAAAGATATCTTGAATTCATACTTTCCAAAAACTAATAACATTGATGGAACATTAATTATTTTACTAATCAAGGATATAGGAGATGCACTAAGCTAATCTTAATTATTCCAAACCATGATCATCGACATACTTAGCAAATCTTATCCTTTATCAGGTGGACCATATTCTAAACCCCACACCTACCACTTCCAAGCCCATCTTTACTATTTTAAACCACCAAAAAAGCAATCACATATCATATGAAAAGCTCTAGGTTTCCATTCACAAGCCCTTGCTTGCAATGACATTAACCAAAGGGAGAAACTCAGAGGGGTGGGGGGGATTGTGGTTTAGCAATATTCTTATGCGAACAGGTAGATACATATAATTTTCATTAGATCAAATGCTGCCATTTGTAGCAATCAGAAGGTGATCACTTTGAATGCCCTGCTCACGCGTGATGGTCAAAAGGCTATGAGATAGAGCGCAATACCATTATATTTTATGTTAATCTCCCACCAAAAAATTGAAAACAAAATTACATGTCGACCTTATTTGTTACACATGTCATGACTAGAACTCCTATACTTTTCGACATATTTCCGCAGTAGTGGGTTTGACGTATCATAAAAATATTCCGACTAATGTTACATGTATCATATTTATATGTAATTATATTGACTATCTTTTTTTATTTAAAGGCGGATGAAAGGATCACTTATAAGGGAGTTTCACGCTTTTTTTTTCACTTTTATGAAAGGAGAATTGTTATGTACATCTATGAAAGCAAATTATAAAGTTTCAAAATTCCAACTGTTATGACAGTTTTTCATTCATTTATTTATTTTCGGTTTCACTTCAAGCCTTGATTACGGTTAATAAATCACACATTTTTATGCAGTTAAGCCATATCATTAATTCATATAACTTAAATTTAAGAAATTTTTGAGACTTCAACATTACTTTTGTGAAAGATGTGATCAGCAACATAGTCAACAAACGTGATACAAAAACATTTCATCGAAAAGCTACATGGAATATTGTTAGGGTTTGGCGGTTGTATCCGCGTGAAAGTACTGCCAAGCCAACCAAAGAGCCGAGGGATACCCAGAGAAACGGCTAAAAGCAATAGGAAGAAAGTGATAAATTGAAAAAGGAAGGGGCTGAGGGAAAGGTCACGTGGAAGAGGACCCTAAGGAAGTAACCTTTCTCAATGTGTAACGTAAGTGTGTTGCACAACAGTTAAAAAGACCGACTCACCATTGTTGAGTTGGCACTCATATATGCCGATTGTTGGGTCATGGGTGCATGGCTTTTTTGTGCTGCAGCCACCTACTGCTAAACGCTAAATAAAGTAATCATCACTAATCTCATTTCATGCAACAAACAGCCCAAACTTCTCTCTATAAATATGAAGGACTCTTTGTGTTTAGTCTCTCGTAGCAAATACTTGCAAATACACAGAGCAAGAGAAATCATACAGCCCTATAGCTTCCTAGTTTATTTCTCTTTCTTTGAGTTTCAATATCTCCAGAGAGAGAGAGAGAGGCAGGCTAGCTAGCTACCATGACTTCACCAAGTTCTCACAGTCCTTTGGTTATTGCCTTTGGCATTCTTGGTACAAATTTATCAACACTATTTTCTTCTGCTAGTTTATAGTTTATTTTGAATGAGGAACTGAATTTTCTTCTTACTACTGTCAATTTGATCAGGTAACGTTGTCTCGTTCGTGGTTTTTCTAGCTCCAGTGTAAGTTTTATTCTTTTTCTTCAAGATTTTGCAAGAGATATGCAATGAGGGTAGCTAGAACCGGATTAATTAATCGCTGTTAATGTGTTAAATCGTGCAGGCCGACGTTTTGGAGGATATATAAGAAGAAATCAACAGAAGGGTTTCAATCAGTTCCATATGTGTTTGCACTATTCAGTGCAATGATTTGGATATACTATGCATTTCTCAAGTCTGATGAGTTCCTTCTCATCACCATCAACGCCTTTGGTTGTATCATTGAGACCATTTACATCTCAATGTACATTACTTATGCACCTAAGCAAGCTAGGGTGAGTTATTAGTCCCTTCTCTCTCTCTCTCTCTCTCTCTCTCTCTCTCTCTCTCTCTTAATTAAAGCTGATTAATTATTACTAATTGATGATAATTATTGGGGTGCAGGTGTTTGCTTTGAGGCTGCTTCTTCTGGTGAATTTTGGTGGGTTTTGCTTAATTCTTCTTCTGTCTCACTTCTTGGCACAAGGGCCCACCCGCGTTGAAGTTCTTGGATGGGTTTGTGTAGCTTTCTCTGTCAGTGTCTTCGCAGCACCTCTAAGCATCATGGTAATTACTTCATTAATTGCACTATTAATATTTAATTAATATTTCTGATCGATCTCAATATATATCTTGATTTTATTTGTGTTTGTGTAGAGGGTGGTTATCCGAACCAAGAGCGTCGAGTTCATGCCGTTTTCTTTATCCTTCTTCCTCACCCTCAGTGCTGTTATGTGGCTCTTCTATGGTTTGCTCCTCAAGGATCTCTACGTTGCCGTAAGTCACTTTATTTTGTTAATATATTTATTTATTTATACATAATAAATCTTTTATTTCTCATTTCTCATTTTTATTTTCGTTTAATTATTGACAAAGGTGCGTACGGGCTGTCCTTAATTGTGGAATACCTTTTTCTTTTGCTGATTTTTTTTATTAAAAAATCTGGTGATTATATATATATATATAGAAGATACCATGCATATGTAACACGGATCACATCAACCTTTAATTATATATTGTGGCAAACCAAAAAGCATGCCGCAGATAGCCTTCTATAAAGGTTAAAAAGCTAATTAGATATTATTATTATTTAATTATAATCCATATGCTGATTATAAGGAAATGGAAATCTACCAAATCATTTGTTACACAAACACCATCCTTTAATGGATCAATCAAAGCAACCACTCCGAAAAAATATCATTATTGGTAAAGCCCGGCCTTATAACCACTATAAAATGGGTTACAAGATGCATACCAAAAGTCTCAGGTTCGAACCCCCATATGTGTGTATGAGAAATCTTTATTCCTTAAAGTTTAGACTATCGTGTATGTGTGTATGAGAAATCTTTATTCCTTAAAGTTTAGACTATCGTTTGTAATAAAAGAAAAGAAAAAGAAGGCTACAAGATTATTATTCACAATAGGTGACTTCTTCTTATGGGCCATTAATTTTAATTAATTCCATTATCTTCTTTTGCAGTGCCCAAACATACTTGGCTTCACCTTTGGTGTGGCTCAGATGATACTCTACGCAATCTACAGGAACAAGAAGACAGTTCTTGTGGAGGACCAGAAGCTACCAGTGCACAAGGGTGATGTTGTGAAGCAGATCCAAATTTTGAGTACAACTCCTGAGGTGGAGATACAAGTACAAGCAGCAGCTGTAAGCTCCCATGCCAATACTGACAATGAAAATTGTGAGCAAAACAAGGATCAATATGTGCATCCTCAAACATGTAACACTGAGAAAATCATCGGACCCCCTATGCCAAGCCAAATGGTTACATGTGAAGTTTGAACTCTTTTCCGCTACGTGGGGTCGTTGATCATCAGCTTCTCCTGCGCTTGTGTACTTGAGCTCTGTAATATCGTACATGTTATGTAACATATTGGATGGTGTACATATGTACCCTTTCGTTTTTCCAGATGTTTAAATTCCTTAAATTACGTAAGCCGGATGAGGCTGGTTCATAGACCATTTAGCCTCTTGCCCCTGGTACGTATATAATTACTGACACCTCGGAGGGCATAATGGTCTTGAACAGTACTTAATTATCTATGTATCTTCCTTTTTCTGTGAAATAAAATTTGGTGTTTGTGAAATTGTGTCATGATTTGATGCATTCACCCAAACCAAGACCAATTAAAGTTGCGTATCAATGACTGTCTTTAGTTTCCGCTGTTAAATGAATCGATTTCATCTGTCTTAATCGATTTCATCTGTCATATGTTCGTATGTTCATCTGTCTTGTGTTCATATCTCATAAACAACAATTGTTGTTTGTTGATTAAAACAGAATTGCATATATAATAGAGGCAGCACTATATGATTAGGTAAGAGTTTGTTTTTTAGCATAGTCATGCCACTTCTAGAGTTATGATCAGGAGAGGATAGTGATAGTGCCTTTGACACGTTTGCGTGTGTGTTGAATAATCTTCCATTGACGACAAGCATATTACAATATGACATATTTCCTTGCATTACGTAAGAGAAAATAATAAACAATTACTTTACAATCATAAACAAAAAATTAATTAAATAATACATGACCGAATCTCACATATGATTGTAAACTATTACAACAATTATCGCATACACCACACATATATATCTTTTGTACGTGTGTACCACCTCTTTAATTAAATAATACATGACCGAATAGCACAGTCAAGATAATGATGGGTTTTCTGTCTTGCGAGAGTGAAGCGAGATAAGTTTTAGTTATATATACAATTATCACATAGACCACACTCTTTCGTACGTGTGTGTACAACCTCTTGAATTATCAAAACTTATCTCGCTCCACCCTCGCAGGGCAGAAAACCCATCTTTGTCTTGGATGTGCTATTGAAAGATTAATCTAAGAGCAAATATAATTAGTAATTTAAAGGTTATCTTCTCTTTTTTGGGATCAAAATGAGAACTTTCATTCATAAAGATGCAACATCAACACAACCAAAGCTCCTGACTTCTCTAGGTGTTAAAGTATAAATAAGACAAGAAAATGAGACAACATCAATATATAAATTAACTTTTTTTTTTAATATCGACTGCATGATAAATTATTTATTATTGGATATTTGAAATAAGACAAGGAAATGTAGAGCCTTCCCTAGTACAATCATACAAAATAAGTAAGATAACATTACTTTGTTTTTTATACAAGATTATGAACTTACTTCAATCTCTACAAAATCGTTATCCAAAATTTTAAAATTTTCAGATCATAGTGTTGAAGGATATTTTGGTAGTGGGATATTTTGGGAGTGGGATATTTTGTTTTGGTTTTATTAATGCTTCCAGTATCTGGGGAATCGCTCGTGGAATTTTATTATTGGTCTCAAGAGTAACGACGAATTCAATGGGCAATCTTTGAAATCTAAAACCAACACACTTTTTCATGTCAATTACATTACTTTTCTAAGCAAACCAGTAGGTTATGTAATTCGTGGGATTGGATCGAATTCCAGGTGGTCACTTTGAGCCCCGTTTCTTCTATGTTGATTTTTAGGGGGTTTTGCTTAAGTTTGTATTTAAATATGAAGTAGGTTTGAAGCCACTTCAGATGCAGTTAGAGTTATTTTAGTTAAAATTTAACTAAAAAATAAGAGTTCGACAGAGATGCTCTTAGCAAAAGAACCAACCAATTAACGTCTGAATTCTTTATTGTACGAAGTAAAATTTTGTGTTCATGGAAAAGTGGCATAGAATTAATTAAGCTAACAAATATACTTAACCAACCCCATGGTCATCAAAATCGTTCAGATTATCATTTCTTTGTTGTTGTTGTTGTCGTCATCGTCCTTATCATCATCATTATTATTTGAATCCCGTACGTTCTCCTTCATTCATAAAAGAACAACAATACAAATCCAAATCTTATATAAGCCAAAAAAAAGGACATTAGGACTTGAAAGCTCTTCTAATCAAGGGCGGAGTCATGAATTTGGACAAATGCCAAATGCCACATAAGATAAATATATATATTTTTCAATTAAAGAGCTGATGAGATGAGGTAGACAATTATTATTTATTTTTTTTAAGATGGAGTGGGCTAATTTTCACTAAATATGGTGAACTTTCTAAAAATTAGCATTAAATTCCTTTTTTTTAATAAAAAAAATGGCACTGAGGTGACTATGCCCTTGCTTATTATTATTATTATTATTTGAGAAATTTTATGATTGCATTCATAATTCAGTCAAAAAAGTCATTAGTCACAAATGGCCATTACAATAACGGAGCTATCTAACATCAAAATTAAGACAATTTATGGCTCCTCTACTAACAATCATGTCTTATCGAACAAACTTTGAAATAAACATCTCAACTAAGAATGCAAACTCATAACAATCAAAAAGATACAAAGCATATAAACAAACCAAGAATTAGGTATATATCTCTCTTTTGATTTTGTGGTTTAAAAAATCACACAAAGCTTCATATAATGAAAAGACTAAAATAAGTTATTGTGTTGACTACACTTTATATTCCACTCTTAACTATACCTAGTAGCGACAGGGAGTAAGTACGATGTCGTTTATAGGAATTTCCACTCTCATTGCTAACTGACATTCTCCATCGTGATTTCACGCTTTCCACGTGTTGACCAAATTATATATGGATACTTAACTAATTCTATTAGAATCCTAATTAATTAACGACACATGGTGACCCCAATTTGACAAAACCCTCCCGTCGCATCTATACACTTTGGCTTCCATAAATTTGAACAGACCCCATTAAATATTCCGATTGCATTTTCTATTTGTTTCTAGAAACACCCATATGCTGAATCTAGGTCACTGCTCAGAGAAACACTTATGTAGAATGAGGATAATACTATTTTGTCATTTCTTATTAATTACGGTATATCATACGTAGTAATTTTTTTCACTTTGCACAACATAATTGATCGAGAATAACAAAATAGTATTATCACCGTTTCCCACACGTTTTTCTACTGCTAATTACCTAAACACATGTCCGCAATAATATTGCTATATATATATATTGTGCTACACATGTGAAACCTGTGGGAAGGTACAATTTCAGCAGTAAATATGGAATTTGTAAAGTAGTCACATGTATATGCATATAAATATAGAGCCAAGTTTAACGTACTGATGCAATATAGTAGTGTGGTGCACAGGCCATGAACTTCTGCTCAATCAGTGAGCACTGCTGCAAACCCATTTGATTTATTTTTAGTTATTTATATTAATCAATATTTGTTGTCTTTACTTGTTTGTTCTGAAATTCAAACTATACATAGGCCAGGGCATCTTAATTGTGACCAAAATTTATGTCTCCCACAGTGCAGAGTTCTGCAAGGCTGCATTTTTCTTTTTTTTTGACCCCGAAAGTTGCATTTAGGGGCATAGCACTTGACTCTGTTTTTAGGTATATGTTGGAACTGGAAACTAGATAGCTATCTGGGAACGTAGTGCCTGGCATTGCATTCTAATACACATGCCACGGTGTCTTTGAAATTCGAACCTTCTCTCACATATAAACATATTAAGCAAACTTACATATATAGAGAGAGAGAGAGAGAGAAAGTTCTGTTTCCTAATCAAGCAGTCTCGGATATTTGCAAAAAGACAATATACTCAACAGAACTCTATACAATTAATTACCCTAATTGGTGTCATTCTCCTTCTTTTAACCAATCTAATTCTCTTGTAAACGAACGGTGAAGAACTATTTTACACATTAATAATTTATATGAACTTACAGCAACGACAACCACTGACTATTGTTTAATACTTCCTTGATCAAGAGTGCCATTTTTCTCCATTTAGTGGGATATTTTTTGGTTTTATTAATGTTTCCAATGTTTGGGGAATCGTCCCCCCAATGGACTTTTACTTTGTTCTTCTGACGACAACCTTAATGCCCTTTTCACAATAAAAAAAACAAACACACACACACACACACACTTTTTTATTTGAAAAAAATCTTGAAAACTATAATATATACACAAGATTTTATCAACAGAATTTCCGTACACAATTCGTATTTATTTTAGGGAGATTCACTATTATACCCAATATGGGGGCATAAATTATAAAAATACCCCATATGAAATAGACTTTATAAACACACCCAAAGCCCATTTACAACATAACAATGAGGCTTTAACTTCTTATAAATTACAAAACTACCATAAATTTCTTAAAACAAGCCCAACCCCAAAATCTCATAAAAATACCCAAAACACTCAATAGGGCATTAAAGTAATTTAATAATTAATATTAAATTCAATAAGGCCAGCTGTCATTTTATGGGTTTTTTTTGGGTTTGTTTATAGAAATTCAAAGATGTCGGGTTTATCTATAATATTAGTGCTAAGAATGGGTATATCACTAAATATCTCTTTATTTTATTACTGCATATTAAACTATTATTTTCCGTTCCACCTGGCCCAAAATGTAGGCTGATATGTTTTCTTGAGGAGCCAAAGGTTATTTCTTAAACCAAAGACAACATAGATTAGTGTTGCTAATTCTTTTTCTCAAACTTCATTTGAGATTTGACTCGTCCTCGTGACTCATGATGATTTTGGCTGGGCTGGAGATATTTAGGGTTTGATCGTGATAGCTGACTTCATCATAATTACTTTAATGGATGTTCAAAACCACTTCAAGAGGAAAATAAGGGGAGCATTTTTGCTCACTAACTCAAGATGTATGCTTACCAACCCTTCTCAACACTTGACAGGTGTTCACACGTATGACAATGGTTACATAAATCAAAATAAAAAGTTAATCTTGGTTATGCATGTAGGCACTTGTCAATGGGTTTCTCAGCAATGTGACCTTTCCTTATTTAACTTAACAGGGGTTAAATCAGCGCACGTGACTTGCACATGACCTGGTAATTTTGCTAAAACATGGAGTACACAGGAATGACATAGAGGATTAGGGTTTTGGGGATTGGGTATGGCGGCTATACATATGAAGGGTCAACTGGAAAAGTTGTTTCTTATATTGGTAAGACAGCATAAGATCCATCTTGATGCTGAGCTTCCTTCTCCACCGTTTGATTGCTTCTTTTATACCAAATGAGCCATGATCTGGATAGCCCTGCACATCAAATGCGATTACACATCGAAAAGGATCCATAGTGGGATTCTGAAATTTTGAAATAATTTCAAACCTTCTGGAATCCTACAAAGGACTGAGCAAGTGGTCTTGTAATGTAACTTCAATCTAGTGCGCTGCAGTACATTGTGCAATTTGTAGTAAAAAATTGGTAGGGAAAATCTAAACCGACCATTTACGTACCCTGTCTACTCAATAATTAATTAATAATACAGAAAGTTTTTATAAATTTTAATCAAGAATGATTTGATACGCCATGTGCCAGTGTCTTAATTTGAAGTCCTAGTAAAAAAAGAACAAAAAAACAAAGTAAGATTCGGAACATATTTGAAAAATGAACAAATGAAATACTGTCACATCAATTATGATTGGAAATGTAACATTTATTTGAGAAATGTATGTTATTACTATTTCTTACATTTGATTGGTGAATAGTGTAAAATTGAACAAACAATTTGGTGTTGAAGAAGCAGAGGAGCCACGCCCTGAGAAAAGAGCAAGGAAATCCCTAGAACTGAACTATGAGTTGTAACCCTTAAACCACTTGGTGGGTGACACATCAGAAAGAAACTTGGTGGGGCCCACAAGGATGTTGTGCATGTACTAGAAATAGTACTTGGCAGCAAGGGCTCAACTGGTGTGAGCGTTCTTGGTGAGGAGAGAAGAGACCAAACAGGGAAAATATAGGAAAATTATAGGTCAATAGGGGCTAGAAAGCTGTTTGGATTATGTAAAACGTAAAAGGCTCAAATGAACAACTGGAAAGGTTAAACCCAAGAGTGTTTCATTGATATTGCTCCTCACATTTTTGCATGCAACTTGGTCACTCAGATTCGTGACCCTTCTGCCCCCTCCTTGTATAAATATGGCTCTAGCCCTTTGCTTCTAAGCATAAGTGTGGCATTGAGAAAGAATATATGAGATAGTAGTTTGTGTAGTTAATTCTCTTGTCTGTTTGAGCAAGAGAGATCAGAGTGAGTGAAATTAAGAGAGCTTGAGAGAGAGAGAGAGCGCCTTCAATATCTTGAAAGAATGGCCATTCAACATCCTTTGACTTTGGCCTTTGGCCTCTTAGGTATAGTACAAAATGTTCATTCACTTTCTCTCTCTTTCTTCCTCTTCTTTTTCTCCATTAATCAACTCATAGAAGCTAGCTATAGCCCATTTTATTTTGAGTAAAAGCGAGTCTAAACTAAAGGGAAAGGGAAATTTCTCACACATGCACATAACTAAAATGCTATGGAGATTCGAACCGGAGACATGCTTTATCTTTTTACATGCATGTTGCAACTTAATTCATGTTTGCTACATTATTGCTTGTAATATGTGTATAGAGTTCTTGAGAACTAAAATAATTTTATTCTTTTATCGTAGGCAACATCATCTCCTTCTTGGTCTTCCTTGCTCCAGTGTAAGTGGGGGGTTTTTTTTTCTTCCCTTTTCTCTCACTGTATATTGACTTTTTTCCTCCATGGCATGGAACTTCAAATATTCATCATCAAATGATTGTTGTTATTGCAGGCCAACATTTTATACAGTATACAAGAGAAAAACTGCTGAAGGGTTTCAAGCACTTCCTTATGTACTCGCCCTCTTGAGTTCAATGCTGTACATATACTATGCTCTCCTCAAAGAAGAGTTCAAAGAAGATGCCGCTTTTCTCATCACAATCAACTCATTTGGCTGCGTCGTAGAGACTCTCTACATTTCCCTATTTCTTTTCTATGCCCCTAAGAAGGCCAGGGTACGTATCGATCGGCCAGCTCATTAACATAACAATCTTCAGATTTTGCTTAACTGCGCTCATTAATCTGTTCATTTCCTCTGGTTTGAACTTACATGTCGGGTTAATTTGGAACCTGCAGATCTCAACCCTGAGGCTTGTGTTCTTATTGAACGTTTTCGGTTACGGCTTGATGATGCTTTTGACTCGCTTTCTAGCCACAGGTGAAATACGGCTTAAGATTGTGGGATGGATTTGTCTTGTCTTCAGTCTAAGCGTATTCGTTGCACCTCTTGGCGTCCTGGTAATTAATGATGAGCTAAACGAAAATCTCTAGGTATTGCTATTTGTAACATCTTAACTGAGCATGTATTTGTGCAGAGACAAGTAATACGGACCAAGAGTGTTGAGTTCATGCCATTTCCATTATCATTTTTCCTAACATTAGGTGCTGTCACGTGGTTCTTCTATGGTCTTCTGATCAAGGACTACAACATAGCTGTGAGTAAATAAAAACCTTGTACACACATATTTTATATATATATATATATATATAGTTGCATGCATGTGACATGCAGGCATCACATGAATTCATATTTTATTAATAATAATCATCTTTTTCCTTTCCTCTTTGTTTATTGAACCAACAGTTTCCAAACATACTGGGCTTCCTCTTTGGGATTGCTCAAATGGTGCTTTACATAGTCTACAAGAACACCAAGAAAGTTCTGGAGGAGCAGCCGAAAGTGCAAGAATTATCAGAACATATTATTGATGTGGTGAAGATCAGTTCCCTGGTGTGCCCAGAACTGAGCCCAGTGGTTCTGCAGCCAAATCTGGATATTACAAATGACATGATCGAAGCGGTTCAGAATATAATCGTGATGGCTGAAAAGACTGAAGAAGCCAAGGAAGCCATGGATATTGATGCCTCCACCAAAGTTTAACTCAAATTGAAGGAAAGGAACTTTGCATGCTATAAAGTTTCAAGTCTTCAAACAAAATGCAGAGTTCCTCTATCTGTATTATGTCTGCCTAATTAAATTTTAATTTGTGTGTTGAATTAATTAATTTCTACTTAATTAATTAGGGGTAGTGCCAAGGGTGTGTCTCTGCATGATATATATATGCCCCTTCAAATTAAGGGTATCCATCTTACTATCTCTCTCTAGCCATCTGATCTAGTTATTAGCTCTTGTGAGCTTTAAATGAATTAATCTCAGGGTACCCAAAAATTGTTATTAGTAGCTAATTGCAAGCTACATTTTCTATACTAATTTTCTTTTTAGCTAACTTTTTAGATGTAATCTTTTGGGATATTTAAGATAAAAGTTGGTGGTATAATTGCTAGAAAAACCAAAACAAGCAGAGAAACTTATCCAATACCATCTAACTCATTTTGGTATGGCTAGCTTTTGTTGGTATGCATGCATTTGTTATCTCTCCTACAAATGAAAATGACACTTAGAATTAATTTTGCTCTAGAAAGAACTCTAGACTAAAAGTGTCACTTTGAATAATTGTCACAATAATATCAAAATTAGTAGCATAAACGACTCACTAACACAGAAAAGTAACTGATCGCAACATAATATATCATGTTAGAATAAGCATATTTGTGAAAAGCTCTAAACTAGAAGTGGCTGTGGAATTCCTTCAAGCCTATCCACTTAAAATTTTGCCAATATTATGAAGTGAGCTAGCTCTTGTAGAAATTTCACTGGGAGAGACAGGGACATACGCCTCCAGTAACCAAAATATAAAAAAACTGTGTCCTCCTAAATCCATGTAGTGGAGAATCTCAGATTCTCTCTGCAGCTATATACATATCTTAGCTAGTGTTCAATGACTCGAAAGATTACACCAGACCGATCTAACTGGGCCTACCTTGTAACATATCATGATAGCCAGACACCACAGTGCAGAAGAATATTCTTCCACATTTTCTACGTCGGATATCTCAACTCGTCTCTGTACCTGTGGTGGTACTCGAGTCAAATACATGGTTCATATACATTGAGTAACATGGGAGTGCGGTTGGTTATTTGGTCTCACGCGTGATTTACATGTTCTGCAAATACTGTAGAATAATATTTTTCATTCTGATATGACAGTAATTCACTGTATGAGACATCAGTTGCTTTTTTATTTGGGTTCTTGATGTGAGGAGTTTCGAAAAATATGATCATATAGCCTTTAGGTTTAGTTATTCTGTCACTGTGAGTGAAGTTTGAGTCAGCCTGATCAGATTTTCATTCATATAAGAAAAGATTTAGGTCACCTTGCTTGCACCACAAATTAGGGATTGCTTCTAAGTATGATCATCATCCATATAGATAAATAAATATAGTATATGTCAACTTTTTTCATGTTAAATCGGGTGGATTAATAACATTCTTATGGTAGCTACATTCCCTGATGATAAATCTCCTTTTTAAGAAGTTGGGGGGATTCGGTTCTGAACTTGTGGTTCAGGGCAAAAGCTTATGTATCTATTATATACCAATGTTTAGTAATTAATCACCCTATATTACTTTATGCATGCATAGATATCTTTTTTCACGTTTTCCCAATACTATTCGGTTTCCACTATAGGCCAATTGGCCAGGGTAGGGAGTCCGCCCCCATTGCATGCATCCGAGTTCAAATCCTCATTCTTAAAGTAATTCAGTTTTTCTCTTGATAAGAAGTTGAATGACAAACTGGCTGAACGCAAACTAACGAGGTTACTCGTTTTAATTACGTAGTTTAATCATATTATGTAGCAGTTGATATGTTAATAATCAGTTTATTATAAATCAGCTAATATGATTAGAAAAATGTAATCGCTTTAGTATTGCACGGTTTTGCTATTTGTTGATGTTGTTTCTTGGAAGGTGTATAAAATGTACGGAAATCAGGTAAGGTCATTTTCAAAATAAGCATGCCTAAAGTTTAGGTAGGTTCCCATGCTTGACCCTACCATGACTGCGCATACATGAGGTGATGGTGATGAAATAAAGTACCCACTACTACTTCAAATTCCTTTGAAAGCCTGAAGTCAGAGTTTGTTCAATTATAAAAGGTTAATATCTTCTTCTGCTTTTTGTTTGATTGTTCCTTTTTCCCATTTCGCTAAAGATTCTTATGCTTTTTTCGGGTCAACTTGCTCAATGTGCTTGAGTTACACGGAGTTTTAGACCACGCAGTGTTATGCGATAGGGAAATTTTGACATGCTGGATTGTTAGACACTTCAATCTTTTTTAAGTTCGAAATAATAAATTTACGGGTACCAACCAAAACTGCTTTTGTGTAGAGCTTTTCACAAAATTGATTGCACAGGGCATTACATTTGTCTCAAAAGGGGCTATGGTAATGAAGAATACAAAAACGTTAGAAAACTACAACATGTTATGAGGATAACTAGCTGAGTGATGCCCAATCCGGATATGGGCATTCATAAGTCCATCCAGGTGCAGAATATCGAACACAGTGTAGCCACAGAGCCTCTTCATGAACATTGTATCTGCAATTATAATCACATTCATCAAATGGAAGTTGAAAACAGTCGGTATCGGATTTTATATGGTTACATCATATGCATCAAAGAATATTCATGAAGACCACACAAAGAACGACAATTCTTACCCTTTTGGAACCAAATCCGGACAATTTGTACACATGGGATCGATGCTGAAATCTTCATTGGAATCTACATGTTCGGTGGATAAATTTTCGCAAAAATCAGATGCCGGGATCGATGCTGAGCGATCATTAACATGTTTGGACAGGTAAAGCAAGTCATTGGCTATTGGATAGCCTGCATGTTGCAAATGTACACGTATCTACATCACAGAAAAGGGGAGATCATTGAGGTTTTAGGTAATCCAAATCTTTGCTTCAGATCAATAAGAATGAAAATGCAGAGCTATTTGTCTTTAGAAGATGTGGAAAATTCAGAAAACAAAATGAAAAGCAGAGTCATCAAGAGAATAAGCATAGCAAAGTTTCACTCAATTAAATTGAGAATGAAAATTACCAAAGAGAACCAAAAAGAAAAGCATACGATGCATTTTGCACACTTACAGTACAGAATTAAAAAGGGAGAAAATATTCTTTTTCCAATAGCAACCTTTTAAAAAAAGGCGGTGTCACATCGCCCATATAATTATCAGGCATTTAATTACCTGATGAGTTCGGCCAGTGACTGGTTCACACAAGACAAGGCTATGAACTCCATTAGTACTGAGTCTAGTAAACTTTGTACAAGCAGTCTTCCCCTTTATGGGAGTAGTATCACCACAAGCACCAACCTGCATAAACGAGAGATGGCTATTGTTCCGTATTGTTCATAGAGGCTATCAATGTGATGTCGTAACTAGTCTAGTTGGTCCATCCGAAATTGTAAGAGATCAGTTCGCAATGCATAATAACACAAGGCAGGAAGTTGCAAACAAGCAACCTCACCAACAACAATCACAGAGAAGGCTACAAAAACAAACTCAAAGATCCTATGGTTTAAACAGCAACTAGTAGCATCATGTACACATTAACCCACCTCTGCTGTGCTCCTTTGTTCTCGAGCATTATGATTTATGTTAGCATCTACAACTTGCTGGGAGAGAGAGAAAAAAATAATCTGTCAATCCTAATATTAAGAGCAGCATTTTTAACAACCAGCTTTAACAAAAGTAAACCTCCTGCTCAGGAAATTCCCCAGCAACTCTTGCAATGTACTGTTTCTTGATCATCCCTCCCTCAATCTGCAACAATTTCATTTTGACTTTAAAAAATTAAGAACAAAAAAAATTTCTGATCCACAAAGCATGAAAAGAACACAATGCTTAAATAAGTCATCAAAACAGAACTCTTGAATATCTACAAAAAAAACAGTGGAACAAGAAAAACTGATTTCTTGAATATCCACAAAGCGTGATATGTGCATGCAACCAATGCCACTTCTTAGACAGTCCTGAATATTACCAGTCAAATAATTGGGAACACCCAGGCTTATCTATACGCAAGTAGTCATGTGGACCAGATATAAAAGACAAGTGACGCACTTTATGATTTTGCCTAACATGATAAAACTAAAGAGATCAGTATACTTTATCTCTGACATGTAGCACATAACCAATTACAAAAGTGTACCCCTGTAATGCATGTAGCTCTTGGACTATATCGAATTGTAAGGGTTTAGCTATGATAGAAACCCTAATTGGACTATATCCAATCACATAAGTATATTTTAAACCCTAATTGTAAAGTGACAGAAACCAAATCACCATGAATTTCTGCTACCATAATACACAGGCTTTGGTTGTGATATTCCACGGCCATGATGATGACTTAAAGTTTACGGAAAATTTAACTAATACATTGTTTGTTCGAGTATCATATAATCAAATTTTATAGATGAGAGCTTACCTGTTGCCTAAAAAAGTCAGCTTTTGAAGCACTTCTGGCCAAGATAAGGAGTCCTGAGACAAGACGATCTAGTCGATGGACCGCTGGCATGATCACGTCAAGGAAAATATAATGAAGCAAATAAAGACTCCATTTGAAAATATCATATGTAACTTCAAAATACATGCTGCTGTCAGAAGTATAATATTTGTGTGAAACTTAGGATACGAAATAGAGGTGCCAAGCCATGCTCAGCCTCAAGGATGCCAACAACGGTATTCTTACGATATTGACCACACGGATGCACCTAGATAACAGAAGAAACTAACAGGCATAAGACTCCATAATCAGGTTGTGGGAGATGAGAAAAATGTTCCTCACCCACTAGGCAAATATCTCATAATCCTACTAACCGGAATAGATGCAGGTTTACAAACGATAACCACATCTGGTTCTTTTTGGAGAATCAACACATCCGAAGTCAACACTGGTGGTTCATGCCTACAAACAACCCTTACCACATTAATTGGTAGCTCGACAACTTTAAAATAGAGATTTGAATCAATTACCCAATTAAGAAAAAGATCATAAGTACACAGAAAACAAATTGACAAAAAAGATAAAGCAAGCAGAGTTAAAGGCATCGACTACAAGAAAACCAGAGACCTGTGCAGGAAGTGGCTTATCTTCTCTGACGTTTTAACTATGTAGGAAACTGGCACCATCTGTCCATCAACTCGTATCCTTCCACATTTCACTGCACTAACCTGCAATGCATCACAATCCATAACAATATGCAGAGTAAAACTTGGAGTAAATTGTCACTAAAACATTTAATTAAAATACAGAGCAATTTTCTTTATTAAAAAAAAAACATCAAAACTATTACATAGTAATCATGAGACCGGCCTTTAAACTCATCAGTGAACAAGTCAACGATGGTCTTCCCCGCCCAGCGATTCTTAACCTAAAACCCAGTAGCACGGAATTAGGGTTTAATCACACTCAACTAATCACATTCCCAAATTAAGCAGATTGGCTTACATGAGCGATGAACTCGAAGTAGTAGGGTCTCACATGGCGCCTCCCTGCAACATTCCCGCCAAAATAAAAATGCTTTCTTTCAATTACTGTTAATATTTTACAAAGAAATGAAACAGCTTTCGAAACCCAGAAGTTACCGTTGCGAAAGATGTAATCTAGTCGGTGTGGAGGGTTGGCTGGGGTTTGCCAGACGATCTCCATGTCATCTTCTTCCAACTTCCTCTTCATTTTTCGGCTTTATTATCAAAAAAATTGCTTTTGCAAGAGAATCACAGCCCTAGAGCCCAAACCGCCCTAAAACGACGTCGTCTGGGCCCCTGCAGGCGGATTAGGATTAGAAATTATGTCGCTTTCATACTATCGATCTTTTGACCTCGAACGACGTCGTAGTCAGCTTTGGCAACACTTTTTCTTCTTCAGCAGCTCACCCCCAACAAGAAGCACCAACCTTCAACCTCCATAGAAGAAAGAAAGAGAAGAAGAAGAAGAAGAGTCTCAGAATTGCTTAGGCTGATCGTCTGCTACCTCGAAAGGAAAAGGGTCGGGCTTCAGAAGTGCCAGAGTGCCACGTGGAAGCAATCAGTCGGTGGATAGGTGAAAAGTCAAAAGTCAAAAGCTTGACGGGGAGAGATGCCGGAGGAGGATTTGGTGGACATAAAGTTCAGGTTGTATGATGGTTCCGATATTGGGCCGTTCAGCTACTCATCGGCCTCCACCGTCGATATGCTTAAGCAGAGGGTCGTCTCCGATTGGCCCAAAGGTTTGTCTTGCAACTTGTTGTTTCTTAGTACTTAATTTCTTTGTGAATTTGTTTGCTATTATGCCTGTCAATTTCAATGTGTTTCCAATTTGGAATTTTGATGTTGATTTGGATTTTTATGTCAATCTAAGTTTGAAGTTTCATTTTTGGGCAATCAAAATTCTAGGAGCTTTTGAAAGAGTCTTTTTAATTGAATCTTAAGCTAATTTTCTAAATAATTAGAACAATCCAAAACAATTTTGAGTCTCACTTGTTGTGGAATTGGTATTTTTTGTGAGTATAGTTACAAGTTTATTACTTTGACTCCTTTTTTTTCCCCATATGAATTCTCTGTTTTTCCATCCTTTGTTTATCTAGTTTTGATTTTCTTGAGATGCCCTTTTGATTTTTGTATAGGCAAAACTATGACACCCAAGACAGCTAATGAAGTGAAACTGATGAGTTTTGGCAAAATTTTGGAAAACAACAAGACAGTGGGTCAATGCAAATTACCTTTTGGTGATGTTGGTGGGGGCGTTATCATAATGCATGTTGTTGTACAGCCAGCTATAGAAAAGGCTAAAACAGGTAAGATTTCCATTATGATCTAAATCTCAGAAAGTTTCGTTGCTTGTGGGTTGCAAAGACCACTTAATCTTGTGCTGTTTTCAGAGTTAAATTTGATGTCGATAAATGAATTCGATGTTGTTATATCATATACTTCTGAACATTGATTTTGGGTGAATTGTGCACTGGCTTGTTTATTGCAGCCTTTATGCCTGGAGAATTTAATTGTAAATTCCTCTTAAAACTTTTGAACCATTGTTCAACAATCAACTAGGAAAGTTGAAACTAACTGGTACAAAAAGTTTGTCATGTGGACGTTGTCATTACTTATTAGCATTTGGTTTGAGCCTATGAGAAATTTGCTTTCTCTCGTTTCCTTCGACAGGAGATATATCTTCTACGGTGTTTACTCCAGCAATTCATTGTTATTAATGGCGTGTATACTGTCTGTGAAAGGGGAGCAACCTAAGATCAGAAAATATTTGAGATTAAAGAAAGGTTAATAATGAAGACAACCGTCGATAGGAGAGAGCCATTTTGTTTATGACCTTACTATGTCTTCCCTTAAGAAGAACAATTAACTTCCCAAGAATGGAGGGATGCATCATGCATATATTAAAACCATCCTTGTTGGTTACTGCTATTTGTTTGGAAATTTTTCATTCAAAAAGTAACAACGTGGGTTTTACTGATCCTAATAGTTATAAATGGCAAAACTAATTTGGAATGGGATTAATTAAGTGACGTTTTGTTGCCCTCCACTTTTGATTTTATAAGCATGAGGTTTCTGAAAAGCTTGTCATGGTTATTCTGAACAGAAAAGAAGGTTGATGATTTGCCCCGGAAAGTTGTCTGCTCCTGTTCTATATTGTGAAAGAAACTGTTTGATGTTGGGATCTGATGACCTGGGAATGAATGATTTGGCTACAGTAACCATCTCCGGGCATACGTTTGTTCATTGTTATTGCAGCACCAATGTGTACAAGTTGTGATGTGTGTACAGAAAACCATGTTGTTGGTGATTTCAATAGTTGCAAGGCTTTTGTCTTCCACCATCACAGATTGCTTTTTCTTTTGTTCATCTATCCATTTGTTATGTTCCTTTTCATCTGTCTTGCCCTATAATTGCTTTTCTTTTGTTCATCTATCCATTTGTTATGTGCCTTTTCCTCTGTCTTGTCCTATAGGTTTGCTTGGATGAATGTAGCAGTAATACAAAGCTGTATAGACCTTATTAATACAAAGATCCACAGTTCAACTACAAGGAGCAATGTTGTGTTTATGCCGTGTTTATCTGAGTGGTAGACGAGGACAGTAGTGTAACATTGCAGGATTAAATTTCTCAAGTGGAATTTGCATCAACTAGTGCAGATGCATATTTGGATCACCAACGTCCATTTTGACACTGCATGCAAAAACGTCCTAACGATTGAGAAAAACCTGCTCTCTTTCTTGTTCGTTCGAACAAGACCACGACCATAAACTACGGATTGAATAAGTGAAATACATAATCTGAAAAATCGAGTATGGTAGTTATTTAGTTATATAAATTTATTTTTTATGGATGTTAAATTTTTTTTTTTCTTAAAGCAAAGATCCAGCGAGTATTCTCTCACTCAATTGAACATAAATTCTGCATGATAACTTTGTTGATAAGTGGATCAAAGGTTTTGTTCTAATCTTCATTTAAAGAAACATTAACTTTTGACTTGAAACTTACTCTCTAATTTTCACCATCTTTATTGGAGGAGGTTTCGAGTTCAAATCTCGCTTACAAGGACCATGCTTCCATGAATGAACGATTAAGTTAGGAGGGCAATTCGCAAGCCTCTTGTGTAACATAATCTGTTGTAATTCTAGGTAGTCTACAAGATAACCATGTGTCAAGGTAATGAGAAACAGAGGGTACAGAAACCGGTTGAGAACAAAGAAATTTCCGAGATTGTATACTAGCTTGAGATCGGATACTACACTCAACAGCTACTAAAAGTACAAAAACTTTAAATAACAAAGACTCGGGTTCTGATGGAAGATGACAAACAAATCGACTCTCTCTGGATCACCTACAAATTTGGCAATCCTGCAACAGGGGAAATCAACGAAAATAATAGTACAGAGAAACAATGGATTATTCTAAATCTGCCTAAAAACTCTATCTGCAGCGGCTATCGTATTTTGAATGTCTTCATGAGTATGAGCCAAGCTTGTAAACCCAGCCTCAAACTGGGAAGGAGCAAGGTATACGCCTTCCTCCAGTAGTCCCCTGTAAAACTTTGCAAACTTTGCGGTGTCACTCTTTTTTGCGTCATCAAAGTTGTAGACAGGCCCTTCAGTGAAGAAAAAACCAAACATCCCACTTATATACCCACCACATATTGCATGCCCAGCCCTCTTCCCAGAATCTATTATACCTTGAATGAGTTCACTTGTGATCTTATTCAGGTATTCGTAACTTCCTGGCTCCTTCAACCTCTTAAGGGTATGAATCCCAGCAGTCATTGCTAATGGATTTCCACTCAAGGTCCCAGCCTGGTACATTGGTCCTGCTGGTGCCACAATTTCCATAATCTCCCTCCTTCCACCATATGCACCAACTGGCAGGCCACCACCAATGATCTTTCCAAGTGTTGTTAAATCAGGAGTAATGCCAAAATACTCCTGTGCTCCGCCATAAGACAAACGGAATCCAGTCATCACTTCATCAAAAATGAGGAGAGCGCCATGTTCTTTGGTGAGTTTGCGTATGCCATTAAGGAAATCAGATTTAGGAACAATGAAGCCAGAGTTCCCAACAACAGGTTCAAGGATGATTCCAGCTATTTCTCCTTTGTGACTTTCAAAAAGCGCTTCCACTGCTGACAAGTCATTGTAGGGGGCCGTTAGAGTATCAATAGTGGCTGCTTTAGGAACACCTGGTGAGTCTGGAAGTCCTAATGTGGCCACTCCACTACCAGCCTTGACAAGGAATGGATCGGCATGGCCATGGTAACAGCCCTCAAACTTAATGATCTTTGGTCGGCTAGTGTATGCACGAGCCAGGCGGAGCACACCCATGCATGCTTCTGTGCCTGAGTTGACAAATCGGACCATTTCTATGCTTGGAACAGCGGAGATCACCATTTCTGCAAGAACATTCTCTAGAAGACAAGGTGCACCAAAGCTTGTTCCTTTCTTCATCGTTTCAGCCAGAGCTGCAAGTACCTGAAAGTAAGTGTTAATCCAAGATAATTGAGTTATATAATAACTATCTTTGCTACTACGAATTGACAAGGTGAAGAAGATTAACAGTCAATTCTTTTTTATCTTTCTAATTTGTCTGGGAGAGGGATTTTTAACTTGAGATGCCTATGTGCTAGCCTTATTAAGGACTTATCATGGGCGATTCTCCTTAATAAAAAATGAGGTGCCTACATCATTGTCCTAAAATATGTAACTCCTTTGGGAGAAATGCGTATGTGGTATTAGAGAAACTATATTACATATTTATATATATATAATACAAAACTCAGTGGAAAAATATAATGAGAGAAAGAAAGAAATAAGTCAGTTCTATTCTCCAAAACAATAACAGAAACAATGTGAATTGATCCTTGGATCAAGACTGTCAACAGAAGCAAGTGAAATTCATAATAGATTACAAGAACAGAGAATAATACCTTGTCATCCGCGTGACCGATTATCGCAGGTCCCCAGGAACCCACATAATCAATATACTCATTGCCATCTATGTCCCACATGTGAGAGCCCTTGACAGAATCAATCACAATAGGTTGTCCGCCAACAGACTTAAAGGCACGTACGGGGGAATTCACACCTCCAGGCATCAACTCCTACAATAAAAAAGTTGTGTCAGCAAGCAATAACAGATTTTGAAGCAATTTCTTCTATTCAACATCTGATGTAGAAAAGGTTAAAATGACACATATCCTAAAATATAGGAACTCAACATAACCATTTGAGTTCGGATCCCACTTTTCAATGACTAAAAGATTTGAATTTCATCGTAAGCAATCAGAACCTTAAACAAACTGGAATTGGATAACCCAAATTCAAATTCCCACGCTTGTTAAAACATCATCAAGACTAAAGCTTCAGTTGCAACATCAAATATATTCACCTGTAATCACAAAACCCAGAAATTCCAATATTTCTAAGACAAACCCACATCTCCAAATCAACTAAAACTCACCATTACAAATCAATCCCAAGATTCCAGCTTCTCTACTTATCTTTCTCATACTCCTAACGGATCACTACGAATCTACATCCCACCTCACTCAAAATCCTTAACAACTATTGGAAAAGAAAAGAGATTTAGACAAGATGGAAACTGTACCTTGGCGGCTTTGAAAGCCTGCTCAGATTTCTCGAGAGTGAAACTCTTCTTCTCGTCGAGAGAGACGGCCATTTTGACAGTGCAAAAACGCCGAGACGATTGCGAAAATCGTGAATTGGGTCTCTGAGAAAGCTTCGGAGTCGAGCGGGAAAGCCCTACAGCTACTCCAGGGATTGTGTTAGCCATGATTGCTCCCAAGCACACTGTCTCTATCTTGCTGGAGCTATTTCGGTCAAGAAGAAGATAAGTGTACGTGCGAGTAAGACCACGACCTTAGACTACGGATTACATAGAAGATGCAAGCCATGTGGGCCGGGTTCCGGTTGTACCGGGTCGGTCGGGTCGGGCATTATTGAAAGTCAACAGAGTTGGGCCTAACTCTGAGCCGCCCAACCCAACTGCTACACTGCACATATATTTCTTGGTAATAAAACATAAGGTGAAGGCAAATAAAATATTGCATTATTGGGGCTTGACCATCCAATGCACATGTACATTGTGACAACATTTTTCCTACCAATCACAATTCTGGCATGGCATTGGAAATGAATATTTTGTGTATTTTTCTTTTTCTTTCTCCGAATGCTGAATACTATGACATCAAAATGTGAGATGCTAGTTTGTTATTGATTCCAATTTGAGTAGAGTATTCAACACCGCCCCGAAACTTCTTAATTTCCATCCCAATTGCTACCTCATGTCCATAAATAGAAATATTGGATGAAACTAAATGTTAAGGAACAAAATATTGGAGGAATTTAACGATGTTGGTAGACTATTTTATCGACTTATTTTCAATTTAGGAAAGCATAATAAATAAATAAAATCAATTCAAGAAAGTAGGTATTTTGACTTTCATTTTGTTCTCCCACGAGATTTGGTGAAATTGCAATTCTTATTTTCAAACTTCAAATTGAGTGCAATCTTGTACTATGAGTTACCAAGTTAGCTTTATTTAATTACAACTTAATTAAACATAACTAAATAACTCTTACCATCCTCCCTGATTTCTACTGAAAATAGTTTAGGATTTGTTGAACACCAAATAGTCTTCTTCATCTGCAGCTTCCCCTTTATCAATACGTCGAATTGAGAAAACTCCAAGCATGTTCCTCAGCTTCTCGAACACAGGATGCTTTAATGTTGGTCATAATATCTGCAACATGTTCTCTACTCTTGCAATACTGCAATTCAATCTTTCCATCCTTGCACAGATCTCTCATAAAATGAAAGCGAACATCAATATATTTACTCCTCCCATGCATAACCAGTTTCCTTAACATCTTGATGGTTGACATGTTATCACAATAGATGATCGTTGTACCTTTTTCCCCATTACCAATTACCTTGAACATCTTTCTAAGCCAAATAGCTTGACAAGAGCTTGAAGCTGTTGCCACCAATTCAGGTTCAGTTGTGGAAAGTGTCAGTATCTGGTGCTTCTTTGATGACCACGATATTTAAGTCTTAATTAAATAAAGCTGACTTGGTAACTCAGAGTCCAAGTCAAGTAGGATTCCTAGTTTGTAGGAGTTGTGGTTAAGGTCATTCGCCACAATTAGAAGTGTTCCATTGCTTTCGTTTAGTTCCACAAAATCTGCACAAGTTGATTTATTGTTTAACGTGTAGCGTAGATCAATTCTATTTAAGTTGTAATCTTGTTTCATGAGTATTTTCCAGTTTTCAAGTTCAATAGATTCGAACTTTCAAATTCTTTTGTGTTCCAACATTACATCCCAATTTCTACCTCATGTCCATAAATAGAAATATTGGAGGAAACTAAATGTTAGGGAACAAAATATTGGAGAAATCTAACCATGTTAGTAGACTGTTTAATCGATTTATTTTCAATTTAGGAACGGATAATATAAAAAATTCAATTCAAGACAGTAGGTATTTTTACTTTAATTTTGTTCTCCCGAGATATTTGGTGAAATTGCAATTCTTATTTTCAATCTTGACATCGAGTGGATTGTTTAATCGATTCTCAAAATAGGCTGTAACATTAGGCAAAAGCAAATATTGTTTTGTAAACAATTTTGATTAATTTGTAGGAAAAAATCATTTGTGTGGAAGTAATACTTAGCATCAGGAAAAGTAATTTATATATTGTTTGTCAAAAGAAATCCTATTTGTTAGATTGAAAATGTGTTAATGTTTTTTATACAACGCTATGTACTAACATAATGATGCACAAATCTTATAGATTTTATCTCTATTGTTGATTTTGCATCCAACATTAGAAAAAGAATTTGACTTATAGTATGTTTACTACTCTATAATTGAACATGAGTTTGATTGAGGAGTCAAATTTTGAATTTCCATTGAAGCTATATATTAATTCACTTAAATTAGAATTAAAATTAATTTAATTAGTTAAATTTGCTTGTTCCAAAAGTCAAATTTTGATCCCTGTAGTTTGACATTTCAACCACTTTTGACATTGTAGTTTAAATTCCTTCAATTTTGCCATTGTAGTTTCATAATTGTAGCAATTTAAGGACCATTCTAATATCCATCAAATTATTCTAACTTTTATTATCTATTTAGGGTATTTTGGTCCCAACTTGCATCCCCTCCCCCAACCCGCCAACCGTCATAAGCAGTCCCACCCAATCCTAGCTAGCCACCACACCCTGTAACTGAAAGCCAACACAGCCTCCCAACAAATGCACAAGGCATAAGCTAGCAAGCCGAGAGTTATGTTCCAATAGTTTCCCCAAGATCGATTGACATCTCCAAGCAATATGTATGAGATTGAGTTGGGAGAGAGAAGGCAAATTGAGGAGAGATTGGAAGTGGGACTTTTTGGGTTGGGTTGGGTTGGGTTGGGTTGGGGTATGGAGACCCATTGCCCCTATAATTTTAGCCCAATTTTGTTTTGGGTTCCTTATGTTTTTGTTCAATTGTTGATTGTGTTCTTGTTGCTTTATTTATTTATTTATTTTAACATTCAGTACTTTTGTTGCACAAATTGTTAAATACATATAGATCTATGAGTCCATGATATCATGGGGTTGGGGTGGCCTTGGGAGGCTACGGTGGGCGTTAGTTATAGGGGTATGGTAGCTAGCTGGGGTTGGGTGGTACTGTTCTTGAGTGTTGGCTTGTTGGGGAGCGTATGTAAGTTTGGACCAAAATACCCTTGAATAGATAACATAAGTTAAGAATAATTTGACAGAAATTAAGATTGTCCTTAAATTACTACAAATATGAAGCTACAATAGCAAAATTGATGAAATTGAAACTACAAGATCAAAAGTGATTGAAGTGTCAAATTACAAGAACCAAAAGTGACTTTGGCCTTCTCAATAATGTACTCATGATGGGTTGCTTTTTCAATAATAAGAACAGCACCTATACTAGCCAAGAGTTCAATTCTTACAAAATCAGGAGTCGAGTTTCTAAATATTATGTGAACTCCATTTGTGTGTTAATTCCTAAATGATTAAGTAAATGCGAGATAATCCATAAATTGTAATTGAAAACCAACTATTTTTATATAAAAATAAAATAAAAATAGATTACGAATATGTGAACATGTCGTTTGAAGCCCTTGATATTATGTATGGAAACAACCAAAGATGACAAACTGGACAGAGCATATTTTTCAGAAACATTATACCAAAAGGAATATTCCTTTAATATCACAATTTGAGTTTTTGCATCTCCAACAAAGTAATGACAGTAAACTACATCCTATATTATAGTCTATAGTATATTACTATATATACACAGGAGAGAAACCCAAAACATGTCAAAAACTCAATTTGAAGTTCGGGTCCAGCCAAGTCTCTCTTCCGTCTCTCTCTCTCTCTCTCTCTCTCTGTGTCACCATGACACCGCCATGCATTTCTACCCTAATCCATCTTCAGCCAATCCACCACTCAAAACACCATTTCAGGTATACAAATCCCAGAATAGAGTTGAAACCATCCAAAAACAGAAAAGGGCAAAATGGGTCTCTTAGGAAAGCTCGAACTAGCTTAGCTATACCTATACTAAATCCTGCTTTAGGTGCTTTATATAATTGTCGTTTTTGTTGTTGTCATGTCGTGTGATATTATAGTAAGGTGATCTTTTGCTAATATTGAGATATTAAGAGCATGAGACGGAGGAAACTGAGAGGTGGTAGAGGAAAGTATTGGCGTATTGAAAGGACAGTGTACCGCCATTGACCAGAGGCTTGCCATCGTTCACAAGGCAGTCGTTGTAGTGAAGCCGCTTGAATATCCTAGGGTTCACAAGCCGAGCCGAGCTGAACCAACCACAGGTGAGGTGGATGCGAGAGATGTCACAGCCGCTGGCACACACGTTCATGATCTCAACGGTGTAGGTGGGAATACCACTTGGGAGTGGGCCCGTGGGACCCTGGTTTATCACTATGTCTGCCTTGCTACACTTTTCTCCTGGAATTCTGTTTGGTTCGTCCATTTCTGTCGCTAAACAAGTAAAAGCAAAACACAATTAAAAACAAAACAAAATTAAAGAAAGAAAAAGAGGGAAAAAAAGGGTGTTTAGGCATTGAAATTAGGGTGCTGTGCATCCAATTAGACAATACAATGCAAACCGACCAAGCCTTCCAATAGGGCTGGCGGGGAGGGAGGGCATCTGCAGACAAAACACACTTTTGATAGGTGACTCACAGGAATAATACATGAAAAGTGAAAACAAACAAATCTAAACCCCAAAAAGGCTAAAATATAGAGAGAGATGGGATGGGACCATCAAAGCTTCTGCTTTGCTTTCATTGTATCATCTATTCATCTCTGCTTTTCAGCTTTATGCTTAACTTTTGGGTATTGGAAAATTAACATTCAAGAAAAAAGTAAATCGCTTTTAGTCAACACGCATTTCCTTTTCACTTATAGAGTGACATTTCCATCTGTCAAACAGCCACCTACAGAAAGAAAAGAAAGAAAGAAAGAAAGAAAGAAAGAGACATGGTGCAATTGAAATTCATCATTGTATGCAAAAATTAAAATCGGCAGCCAGCTTGCAAATTGAAGTCGGGCAAATTCACGCACCCAATTGGGCTTTTTGCACACAAATTTCAAGAAAATATTTATAGACACTAAAGCAAGCATGTAGCCATGTACATAAAATTGTGTGTATTTTCAAATGGGTACCAAAACAAGGAATGAAAATTTGATGGGATATTGAGATCCCATTCAAAAGATGCCCGTATGGACAGGAAATGTTGCCCTTGGGGGCAAAGACAAAGCGCTAACGGTGCACGTTAGCATAGCCTTAACCAGCAAATGGACATGCACCTCTGACACCCAACCCCACCATCTGACCAAGACTACCAAAATTCATTTGCGAGCATATGGGTACCGAATTCTGGTTGCCCTTCCCAGCACTCAGCTCTCAGCATCACTATTTTAGAAAAAATATAATAAATCCAGAAACCTCCATGCATTTCAATTGTCCAATAGATGCCGAATTGAAGATATTAAATTAAATTAAATAATGCCGAGAATTTTTATTTAATTGGTTGATTTCTTACCACGAAGAAGAAGCTTGCGGTGGGTTGCAGTGTGAGTGTTGTTTCCTGCAACAGACGAGCTTGAACCCATGGAACCATGGCGGATGCTCATGAACACAGCTGCAAAACAAAATTCAAAAATTAAAATGCGTAAAAAAAAATAAAAAAATAAAAAAGAGGAAAATGCTAAATCATTGGATTTGGTCATCATGTTGAAATGCAGAAAAGACAAACACATGGACCCCTTGTGTTTGTGAAAGAGATGCCAAGAACAAACAAAACAAAAAACAGAAAAGCGGATTTAATATTAAAAAAAAATAAAGTAATAATTAAATAACGAAAATCAAAAGGAATGTGGAATCTGAGAAAATCGTGGCGTGCGTGAATCTTCTCCAGTAAGATCCAAAGGCGTCCGTACACGTACCATGGTCAAACGCAGGCACGAACAGCAGCACTGCAGCCACTACTGCGAAGAAGACGAGCAAAGACGACGTAACGACCACACCGACTCGCCGAGTCATCATCATCGCGTTAAGTGGACGAGTGAGTTGAGTTGAGAACGAACTCGGTTGCGAGAGTGAGCGCTGACTTGACGAGCGAGTCGAAAACCTTGGCCCGCCCTGGAATATGATGAGGCTGAAGCTGAACCTTCCTCTGCAAGCTTGGGCGATAAGCAGAAGCTAAAAGCTAAAAGCTCTGCATTGAAAACAGAGAGTGAGAGAGAGAGATTGAAGGAACCGATGAAATTATATCACATCAAAATCAATTGATCTCAATCAGTCAAAGAAAGAATAACCGTCGATTTGGAGAAGGAGAGAGAGAGGGCTGAGATTTGACTTTGTATAAAGTGGGAAAGACTCACGGGGTTAATGAGGCTATAGGCTATGCGCTAGGCTTTATCATAGGCTATGCAACAGGCAAAACGACGGCGATTTGAAGTTTTGAAGAGCAGAAGGTTCAGAATTGCAGGTGGTGTTTGATTTTGAATATAAATAAACACAGAAAAAGGATGCGTTTCGGTGCAAATTGAAAACTGCAATGGCAATGCGTGTGTGGGAAAATGGAGATTTTCCGGGAAAGTTTAGGCAGCGAAATTAGAGGGGAAAGAAAACGAGAGAGAGAGTTTTAATAGACTGTAAATAAATAGTAGTACTAGCAGTACAGGATAACTAAGGGACACAGAGCACACAAACATACACAGAAGCAAAGTTGCAGAGAGAGGCAGACATTGTTGGTTCTTGTAGAGAGAGAGAGAGAGAGAGAGAGAGACTGCAGAAGCTCCAAGAGCGAGACAAAAATGGCAGAGCAAATCGTAGAAAGCTTTAAATGACAAAACACCACAATCCGCTAAAGCCGATCGAATTGCTATACGCATTTATTGTTCTCATCTCAGGCACAGATATACACAATACGAGTATAATATATATATATATGTAGGCCACGTAGACGTACCTGTAATTAGGGTTTTGGCAGGTGGTGGATCGAAGAGGAAGGTGGGAAGTCGTGTGCTCTGGTCTGGGTCTGGAGTGAGTGGTAAAAGCGGCAAGAGGTAATTATTATATACTGATTAATTATTTTTTGGATTTTTGGATTTTTGGATTTTTTGGGGAGAGATTATTATTTGATTAAATGGATAATTAAATAAAGTGCACACGTGGGGGTTGTTAAACTGTTAACCGATGGCAAATGAATCATTAGGTAATTTTATCCGATTTAGCGGGAATGTTCGGGTATGATGTGGGTCCAGGGACCACACGGATGACATTTGCCATTTTGCTCGTACACGTGTGTGTTTTTGTTACTGTTTTAGGACATGGACATGGACATTTTCGTGGAAGTATTAGGACATGGACGCTGTCAAATTTTGTATTTTTCGGTAAATGGACATGGACTGGGACTGGTTTGCATGCTGCTAACAGACTACTAAAACAATTTATTATAGTGTAGTGATTTAGAGCAATTGCTCTCTCAGCAAAGATCCTCAGTTTGAGTCATAGCATTTGTGTAGACTAATGTGTGCGTTTAATATGTTATTGCCCATCTCAATAGGAAATGTCCCAAAAAAAGAAAATTGTATACGAAACAATTAATAATTAAAGTAGTTTTGAAAATTATAGAAATATACTTAATTCGATGAATTCAAGTACATATAACCAATAGACTATTACATAACAGATAATTTTTCAACGCAAGATATGAATATGATCTCAAATTGATCCTATATTAAAATCCAATATTATATAATTTTGATTAAATTCTGGCGTCCACATGGAAATGCTTTTATATGAAGGATTTTTGTAAGCGTTTTTGTTAAAAGTATACCGTTATAAGAAAATCCAAGCGCTTCATGAAAAAACACATACCAGTACCATCTTCAGAGAACACTAAAAACGCATCTAGACATATTTTGCCATACACTGAAAATCAAAAGCGTTTTTAGCTCTATTGAGAAAAGTGTTTTTAACACTTCCATAAGCACGCCAAAACAAAACCTACACTTCTACCTTTCTTTTGGGTCGAAATAGATAGTCCACTTCTAATTTAGCTATTGAATTTTGGTCGAACCTATTAAAAATTTGAAAAGTTGCACCAGCAAAGCCCAATCCGTGATGAGATTTATGATACTCTGGCACAATTCCATAGTGAGGGTGTCTACAACTCTAAAGCCCAACATTACTCAGAGAATGCCAAAGGCAATGTAACGGGATCAGGAGAAGAAAATAGTAGATATAAAACCCCTGTACTCTATACAATACTTCAACACCGCATCATTCTGATCCAAATCTTGGTGGCACAAAAAACCATCACATATTGATGCTTACATAGTTCATCATATCATCCCTCTCTTTGCTATCTTTTTGCATTACAACATCTACCAAGGCACTAGTGAGAAAGAAGGCTAGGCATGTTCACCAACCATCCAAAGAATTCCTGATCTACGTTAGGCTACTTCTGAAATTCGGGTCAAACTACATTCCGCCGCGTCCTAAAGACCTACTGAATACAATGGCGAGAGGGCTTATCTATTGGATTTGAAACTAGCAGACTTCATTACTTCCAGTGCCCTTACCTTGTCCAGCAATTCTTCAATCGTATTGGATGCATCCTAAAAAAACAGCAAGCAAATAAGGGGGAAGACAACCTTCAAAAGTGAAACATGTGAACAAAACACTACTCAAACTGGGCTGACCTGCAGCTTCTTTCTCAAATTGGCCTCTTCATTGTCTCGTCGTTCCCTCTCCTCGGAGAATATCCCAATTAGAGTGTCTTGTTCCTTGTTCATTTCCACAATTTTTTGTTTTGCCGCTTGGAGCTGATCACAAGACCAGGAAGTAATGAAAAAAATATAAATAGAATGTGAAGAGAACAATCTGTTACTTAGATCTACTTCATACTTTTCCAGCCTCTCGGTGAGAATAGATAATATAGGCCGATGAATACCTGAGTTTCAAGTGACTTGCACCTATCCCTTTCACACTGCAAGTCCTGCAGCAAATCAGCTGAAGCTGCTCCATCCTTTTTCTCCAATCTATATAGAAGGAAAGAGCTGACGATGACTGCCAAGTAATAATAAGGTGATACAGTACTGAAGCAAACATAAAGCGACATACAAATATTTATATATAGTGGTGAAAAGGACAGAACAAGTACCTTTCCTTCAGTTCACGATTCTCTTTTCTCAATTGCTCCACTACGCCTAAATCACCCTCCAAGACGGAACAATCACCATTGACATTATTCCCCTGCCAATTGAACAAAACCCATTAGCAAAAGCCTATCATCAGAAATATAACCATCTAATGCAAAGCAATAAGTGGAACTGAAGTGACTGGAAGTAACCTTTGACTTGGAACGTGAGGTGGGCAGATAGGTTCCCCCACATGGCGAACAATCTTGCTGAGATTGAATATCTTCCGTGCATGAAGATAACCGAGTCACACCCTGGCCATCTTTCCCGGAATCCTTTTTAGTAGCAAATCCCTTATGACCACTGTCATTTACTTGCTTATCAGACATGGCTGTCGAAGGTGGTGATGGTTCAGAAGAACTTGATGATCCTTCCCCAGATTTTGTGGGCGTTTGCACTCTATGTGTGCCTTCATCAGACATATGTACAGTCGCATGCCCATGGTATGCTGGTTTAGAAAATCTTTTTGAAGATTTTAAATCAACTTTCTGAAATGCGTGTGAACGGAGCTTGTCAGGAACTGATAATGGTCTCTTGCTGCCTGACTTAGTAGCACCATTCGTTTTAGAGGGAGAAGTTTCAGGAAAATAATCAGAAGTCTCTACAAGAAAAAAAATGTTTATGAGTTGACAAGGTTGACATGAATTTTTGAATCACTACATAACTGCATAGACCACAGCAAAAAGAAAGGCTGCCGAAAAGAATGCAGGGTCCATGACATACCTTTATCTGCAGAGCCGTTAATAAGCTTCTTATTACGCCGTGGAGCATAGCCAATTTTATGGCAATAATTATTCCTATATATGCAGTAGTGAATGTCCATTTGTGAGTATCAAAACAACAAAGAAACTCGTAGAAGTATGGACGCATTGTTTGCAATTAAGCTAAATCACAAACCAGTAATTCTTTTGCATAGTTAATAATTTTCCCTCAAGTCTTGAAAGAACTGTTGTACGCTCAAAACCCTGTTTATCATGTGCTGGTTCAACAAAATTGGCTTCTAAGAGACCTGCAAGAATAAAATGCCTCAGAAGAAAACTCAACTTTATCTAAGATTTTAAGTGAGGGAACTTGAATCCATAAACAATACCTATAACACCACGGCCGTCACTTCCTGCAGCATTCCAAAGCCTCCAAAATGGCTGGGTATAAAAAATAACTGTGTAAGAAAACTTCCAAAGTTTATCAACTTGTGCTTAAATACTGATGTAAAGATCATTGCTCAAACAGGAAATCCAAGAGTGAATACTTCATTGAAAAGGCAACAAACTTAGAAATAATGAAGTTTAAAACTAAAAATACCTTAATCAGTCGATTTTTGTGATAAACATTGAACCCTTGAACATCGATGTGATGTTTTGCATCCTTCACAAACCCAACGGTGACAACGGCAACCATCTGATTACGAGAGTTGCATGCCATTAGAAAGACAACAGAAAAAGTAAGCATGATTAGTAAATTAATTTTTTTTAATACATTACATTTGAATCCTTTGGAATCCCATCAGCACCAGGCTGTGGCCGATATGTGACTTGCTGGGACATCATCATATCATTCACTATGTTGTGGTGCTCAACATCCTTCCCACGAAGAATGATTCGGAAGTTATGAGGAAGCCGCAAATAGAGAATTGATGCATAGCTCTGGAGTCAAAATGAAGAAACATATTAATAAAGTTGACATATAGACTAATTCTGTCTAAAAAAATAGAACAGGACCCATGTTACAAAATTCTTTTCACTCAACACTCAGTTTATTTCTTATTCTAATCTCTCCTAATTCTTAATATGGAAAAAAAATATCTAACCTTAGACTAATAAATAATGTAGTCAAAGACTGACTAGAGGAGTGGGGGAGGGGTGTTGTATAATATAGGGTTCTGAACGCTGGTCCAAGACCCAATCAAGAACTGGGAAATGATAGTTGGGCAACCAGGATGGTGAAATTTGACTTTACCCTCAACGAGTGCCGGTAGGTCAAGAAAAAACGAGAGTTGGGAAATTCTTTAGCCATTTGTATATTCTTTTCAGCTCGATTGACACCTCTAATTTGAATATCCTGCAAAATCAGACACCATATATGACTGCTAGAATAGCGAAGCCACTGGAACAAAAAAGATAATATATATATATATATATATATATATATAACTCATGAATCAACATACATGTGGATCAGCATCAAAATCCAGCTCCAGCTGTCCTTCATCATCCTCCCAAAGGTTGTATATGATAATTCGGGTGCCATGGTTTTTCATCATATAGAACTAAATAGTAGTAAAAATAACAAAATCAATGACAAAAAAATCTGCATAAGATAGTTCCATACCATCTTACCAATTTGGTATAAGCCCTACAACAGTATTGAAGTACCTGATGATGCAGGTCTTCTTCACTAGAAAATGGTGACCATTGAACTATTGTTTCCACATTTTTGTTCCAATCACTTAGAGAGGATCGTAATATCTTGCTCCAAGCCCCTTGTCTTCTCTCATAATCAAGCTTTTCATTTCATGCACACAACAGAAGACATCATTTTTAT